TAAGCACCTTATATTTTCTTACTTTTAATCATCAAAATTACCTTTCAGAGGAAATGCTTATCCCCATATTACAGATGAAAAAATTGAAGAAAAAGAAGTTAGAGAAATAACCCAAAGTCACACACAGTTGGTAAATGAAAAAGCCAAGATTTAAGACCAATTACTTTAGTATCTACATTTTTTTTGGTCACAACTCTGAATTGTTTCTAATGTGAGTAATTTGGCAATATGTGATACACTTTCAAGGGTATATACCCTTTGATATCCTTTGACCCAGTGATTTTATTTCCAGAAGTATGCGCTGCAGTTATATGCAAAAAGATGCAAAATGATATTAATTTCAGCAATTTTTCCAGTAAAGGAAGATTGTAAATAACCTAAATATCTATAACCAGGGGACTAGTTAATTAAATTGAAGTTCATCCATGCAAAGAAATACTAGGCAGCTTTGAATAAAATGGGATGGCGCCTATGTAGTGCTATGGAATCATCTCCAAAATACAGTAAGGGGAAAAAGTAAGATACAGAATAGTGGATAGAGATACTGTATCTACACACACAAAGGCACAGAACATATATGTGCATTTTCATATATGCATAGACTATTTCTAAGATACTCAAAGTGATGCCAGTAGTTATCCCATAGAAGGAGAACTGACTATTAAGGAAATTGTGAATTTTATACTATGGGTATGTTTTAATCTGTACAGAAGGCAATTGAGCATGTGGTTCTCAAATACAGAACATTTGCACTGAGGTCACTTGGTGAACAGTATTACCTCATGCCCCCAGACAGACCTGGGTTTAGATTCTAACATTGGCTGGTCTACTGAGACGAAAAGGGGCTTTGGAGCTCTTCGAGCTCCTGGCAGCATAGCTCATCCCTCAACTTTGACACTGGCTTGAAGGGAAGATAAGTTATTAGAGCTTGTGTGCTTGGCGACTAGATCCCACTCCCCACTCCCCTACTTTCTAACTCCAACTGTTGCAAACAATTCTTATCTCTTTCATACCATGTGACTGCCTAAGACCCTTCATCATCTGCACTGCCATCATCCTAAGGCTATGGGAAGGAAGTGGAGGCAGATAAAAGGGACAGCAGGTGCAAGAGCACTGTGGTAGAGGGAGCATGGTGGTCCAAGGAACTAAACGGAGTAGAGGGAGGCTTGAAGAGAGCCCATGGGAGGGGAGAAGATTGGAGACTCTTTAATTGTATCTCTTTATTCCACCTAATTAACATTAAAAAGAAATCCTACTTTACTCAGTAGAAATCCCCTTTCTGATCTCTAAATTGGTATCAAATTACTACCTAATTTCTATACGCTTAGACTCTAGTTTCAAAATCATCATATTAAGTACACCTAAGGAAAAGAGAAATGAGAAAATGAATACTTGCTCTGGTGAAGAATTTGCCATGTTGATATGTTTAAAAAGACCTCAATTTTATCAGAATGTTTAAGGAATGTTACATTTTGATTAATTTGTTTAATTTCCATTGCTATTATTGTTAACTGAGGCTTAAGAATAAAATTATTTTGCTTAAATCTTTTTGGAAAATCTTTAAAAATAATTTTAGCCCCTTTCCTGCCTTAAGGGAATTTTGTCACAAAAGTTAGATGAGACATACAGCAGACACTTTTATACATATATGTATGTTTAAAGTCTGTAAGCCTTCAACTACAATGTGCTTTACTCACAAGCCCCAAATGACTGTTTCTCATTTCCACAGATTTCTCTCTACAGTCATGACATGTAGGAAGAGGGGGGAATAAAAATTGGTTTTTATGGTAACATTTGGGAATTGCCTTTTAGTTCCTTGCTGGGACTGCCCCTGCTTGAGAAATGAAGCTGGGTCTTCCAATAAATTTACCAGGTAAGGTAAACTTAATTTGGATATTTAATCTGACCCTTGGACTCTGGGGTTTAGAACAGATTTCTTGTTCATGTATTTTAATAAACGTGAGCTCTAGATTTATCTGTTCAGCCCTTCCTGATTAAAGGACAGCAGTTCTGACTTTTATGGCAGTTTTTTCTTTTACTTTTTAACCTTATCCAGAAACACACATTGCATTTGTCATCTCTTTAGTCTCCTGTAATCTGGAACAGGTCTGAGCTTTTGTCTTTCATGGTCTTGACATTTTTGAAGAGTGTAAGGCAGTTACTTTGAGAATGTCTCTCAACTTGGGTTTGTCGTGTTAGATTCACATTGTGCTCTTGGGTGAGAAGACAGCGTAAGTGGCCTGTCCTTCAGTGCTGTGTATCAGTCACATGCCATGAGATATCACAAGGCATATATGTCTGTCTCTACCCTTAAGGGTGTGGTTAACTTCGAGCACTTGACTAAGTTTTCCCCACTGTAAATGTCCTTTTTACCCTTTGTAATAAGAACAACAGGAGAGATGGTGTTTAGGAATAAGTAAATATTTTGTCCCCCAACTGTCACTGATGATTTTACCACCAATTGCTGATTCTTGCTGAATCCATTCTTATAATGATGGTTGAAAATAGTGATTTTCTAACTCTGTAATTTCTTCCATATTTATTAGTCATCATTCTACTTTAGACAAAGTTTTTCCTTCTACCTGTAGTGTGGTACATTGCTGTCTTTATTCCATTTCATATTGCTCCAGCTTTGGCCAGTGGGAGTCCTGAGAATATTGTGTCTTTTATCAGTTTTTTAAAATATATATGATATAAAAAGTGGTGAATAGAGGCACAGAGGAAAGTAACAGCAAGAAGCCAGAGAGATGAATTCTGTTGGTGATCAGGAAAGGCTTCAGCTAGGATGTGGCATTTGAAGTGTGCTTTGAAAAGTGGTAGAATTTTCATAGAAATAGTGATAAGGTGGAATGGAAAGGAAAAATCATCAGAATAAAGCAACACCTGCATACCTCGTATTTGGCAAGTGTGGGTAAAAGTGCAGTATTTCCAGAATCTCTCACCCAGTCTTAGTACATCTCCTATCCATAGGTGTTTCCAAGGGGTGGAGAGAAGTAGTCCATCTCCAAATCAATAGGTAATTACAAGGGGGAGTGAGGGCATATCTGGACTGGAGAGGTTAGGTGGGGTCCCTTTTTTGCAGCCGGGTCATGAGAGACACGGGGAGCACAAGTGGACGACTGCTTGTAAGCAATAAATGTGTTTCTCCCACTTTATTCTTCCCTTGACTGATTTCAGTTTCAAAGGTAATTTGCCCTGGGCTTGGAGACAGATGCACTTACTTAGCTTCATACATTTGCTGGAGCTGGTCTCACCACTTAGAACTCCTTCTGCACCACACCTGCTGTTTTGCTAAGGAGTAGAATAAGGTGTGAGGAAAGTAGGGAATTCTAAGAAGTGAACACAGCACCAGCAGGAAGCCCTACTCAAAGCCTCCGTTCTCCACGAAGTCTTTCCACATCCAAAAAAAGAATTAACCACTCTCAAACTCCCAGGACAGTTCAAGCCTCTCCGTTAACAAGTCTGTCCTGTTTTGTGCTGTTGCTGTGTGTGGATCTATCTTCCTCCTTTAAACATGAACCATGAACCACATCTTAATTGCTTTGCCCCTCTTCCCAGTATTTAGCACAAACGCCCAACAAATGTTTCTTGAACGTGTGTGAGAGAGCAAGGAGAGAAGACAGGCTAGAGTTGGTTGTGGGGCTCAGCGTGTCCTCTGAAGGGCCGCTGCCAGGGCTGCTCAGAGCTGGGATGCCTGAGGGCACTGTGGAAGGAGAAGAACAGCAAGGGCCCTAGCAGTGGCCTCCAAGAACCTGAGATGAGGTGACTGCCAGGAGGGGCCGAAGGCGTGGAAGCAAATAGCTACCAGCTGAATGCAGAAACTGAAACAAAGGAGGAAGGAATTGTCATGGTTTTGAGGTTCCAACAACGGATGATGGACTGACAGAGGCCTCTGACCCACAGGGAGCCCAGGGGCAGTTTCTGAGAATGGAAAGAGTTCCTCACAGTCTGGTCTTTTCCTATCCAATTACTCTCCCTGAAGTCAAAAATAGTATGCGCTGTTGAAAGATGTTTTTATTTCAAATATGATGGAAATGAGATATTGGGTCTACTTGAGGCACATATAACTGACTTTGGTGTAATGGACATTTTTCATTTGGCTTTAGTCATGGTTTTGTTAAAAACGGATGTTAGTAACGGATGCCTTTGTAACGTTGAAACGTGGCCCTGCGAGAGCAGTTTACCGTGAAAGAAAAGGTCGCCAGCTTTCTTTTGGCTCCTCTGTCCCTCTTGCACCTTCATAACAACAGAAAATTTGCTTTGCACCTGCTCCAACTGGGTTCTAAGTGATAAGCATCTTGCAAGCCTGGAAAATTGTAGTATCAAATCTCAGCCCCAACTGTGAGGCAGCACTATCACCGGATCCCCGCTGAGAGGCGTTGCTTTCCCAATTCCCAGAGGAAGAGTCCTTTCTCCCCTGGCAGCTTTTCAGGCTTGAACTCCAGCCTAACCCTTTCTGAGGCCCCAGCGTGCATCGCTCTGAGTGCTGGCCTGACCCCGGCCCTGGTACTCTCCTCCACCCTGGGCTCATCCACAGGTCAGGCTTGGGCCGCCCTGGGATCACTGGAGGGCCCAATTCCAGTAATGAGCATATTTATCTACGGAGAGGAAATGGGCCTTTCTATTGGTTACAGCCAACTGCTTCCCCCACAACCCGAACAATTGGTGAGGCAGCATTTGATAAATTATCTGTAATATGGTAAATATACCTAATCATTGCCTAATACTCATGAAGTTGCTTTCATTCCCATCTTCCTTCATAAATTAAATGGTTTGTTATAACATGGTTTAAGAGGCATATGCCTATTTCATTGACAGCAGACATAAGTGTTTTAAAATCATGCCACATTCAGGGAAACTCATAAGAATTTCAAGTAAAAATTTACTCTTCGAATAGGTTTATAACATCCTGTCTAACTAGATTTATTGTATGGTTTTAAAGGGAAATAAAAAAATGCTGTCAGAGACTTTGTAACTTTGTCTTTATGTTTTTCCCTTAGGGTTTTCAAACAGACCAAAATCACTGAAAGTACTTTTAAACCCCCAAAGCCACAAAAAAGAAGCTACCCAGGTCTATTATGGGAAGGTTGAACCACTGTTGAAGATTGCAGGAATAAAGACTGATGTAACAAGTAAGTCATGTTGAGAATGTAATTTTGACATTAAAAAAAAAATCATACTTAAGGAAGCAAGATAACTTGAATTTGTTCTTAATCCAAATCAAGGAAGCTACTTGTAATATCTAAAGCTTTTTATGTGCTCCTATAACCTGCAGCCTGCTCTCTGGGTTTGATGTTTAATCACATTGTTTCTTTTTATCGTATTATATTTGTTAGGATATACCAGTATTTTTTCTTTAGACCACTTTTCAGACATTAAAAATTGTTAGGTATCATTTTAAATGGAGCTGCACACTTTTTAGTATCTTCATTGAGATGTTTGCTATTTATACATTACTTCTGAAGTTTGAAAAGCCACTGATTTTTTGCTCTCTTAAATGTTTGAGGTCTTTCCGCGGAATCCTTCATTAGCTAGTTTTTGTTCTGACTCTGACCCCTGCTGGTTAGGTCATAACTAAGCACTTAACTGCTGGTTTTAGATGCATTTAGAGAAGCCAGAAGCTTAAATTCATGTCCAAAGTAAGAAAGGAGCTTAGGTTTATGTCCAGGTAAATGGAAATTTGCTATGTTAAAGTTAATAGAAAGATTAGTAAAATCCTTTTCAACTTTTTCAATTTGCTGACCAAATTCCTTTGTTTGCTTGAGACTGTTATTTTTCCCATGGGGGGCAGACCAAGAAGATATGATGCTACCAAGAATCACACCTCAGGTTTCCTGATTTTATTTCTATGTAGCTTCACTAACACACAGTGCAAGTTTATAGCAAATTTTAATTGATGAAGAATATTGCATAATAAGCCAACTCAGGAGACAAGGCCAGAATCTCGTCTCCTTGGACTCTCCTAGTGCCAAGTATAAAATCCTGGAGGAGGGACTGAGAGCGACCTGGATCTGCTCAATGATAACCAAGGGATATGGGTTTCACAAAGAGCTGATGGACTGGGGTATAGGAGGAAGTTCCTTAAAAACAAGCAGTCTTTGTAGGATGGTCAAAAGTCAGCTACCCCAAACGGCATCTACTACAATAGAGGTTCCACAGAAACTACCCTAATAAACTCATGAGGAATTTCTGAATTAAAGTAAAATTGCAGTGGAAGAATTAAACTTTTATCTCTGTGGCCTTTGGCCTACTTAGAAGTGATTTATACAGAAAAGAAATAATTCAGAGCTATCACTCTTTTCCACTGAGGATTTTCAAACACTGGCAAAAGGAAAGCTTTGAGATTCACATTAGGATAAGACAGTTAAAAGTTGAAATTGAATACACTTATTGGCAAAGTCATTAATGATTTCGTTTCATAGAATTAATGTCTAGAACAGTTTTATGTGGTAATTCGTAAATATCGAATTCAGTTCAAGGAACTCTTGACTGCTTTGTAAACACTGTACAGAGTGTAAGATGAATAAGGTATACTGATACCTGCTCTCGAGTGGCCAGTAGTTTATTAGGGATTCAAATAGGTATGTCAAATAAATGGGACATACAAAAGGACTATGGTGTCTCAGGGGGTGATACTAATTTTGATCAGAAGAGTCAAGAGTATTTGAACTGAATAGTTATGGAGAGCCAGAGAAGGCAAAAAAAAAAAAAAAAAGGCTTTCTCTGCATACGCAGCAGAAGAAGAGTAAGGGAATGAAGGCAAACTAGCAGGTAGATAAAGTGCGTATGTGTGTGTGGGGATTGCACCTTAAAATCTTGGGAGTTCTTTCATAACTTCCCTCTGCCTTCCTCAGTTTAGATTTATCTTAATCTGGGCCTTTCCATCATCATACAATGGTTGGCACTGAACTGGAATCTTCTTTATTCAAACGAGTGGTATTTGAGGACTGTGTATGAGGGAGACCTAACATGCTTTAATCCTGAATGAGGATTAAAATTTCTTCCGTTCAATTTGTCCTAATATATTATGTAATCCAATCCAGAGCAATCGCTTTCTTAACCATCACAATACTTCCTATGGGCTGAGGGTAGGACCTCTTTTTCTTAAGGGCTGAGGATACCTGAATGGAACTTGGGTTCTATTGAGGAGAAAAAAAGGCAAAATGGCTTCTGGGAAGGCTCCCAACAATGTTCACTAGAGAAAGTTTGAGTCCAGATTATGGCTGGATCTTTCTGCTACAGTCAGGAGTGCTGAGTGGACTCATCATGCATTGACCCCGACTGAGTTGGTATACATTTTTTATCATAGTGTTGTATTCTGGCTTAGCAAAAATGATTCTGCCATCAGAATAAAGATTAGAAAGGAAGAGGGAGATTGGAGGAAGGAAAGCTGGTACATGAGGCCTGAACTAACGGAGAGATAAAGATAGGAATGTGCTCTCCTTCTTAAAACAATATTATTAGAGAGAAAAATGTTATGTTCTAGAAACTTTTTTCTAAATTTGGAAATATTGAGTATTATATTTAGTTTAACATAAAATAAAATAATATTACATAAAGCAAATTTAAAGTTTACTTAAATATTTGTGCAAAATGACTTATTATTAGCTGCCTAATGCTCCTCCTACAGGCAAAATAATAGAATTGCACCATTTGCTTATAAAACCATTTTAATATGTATATTGGCTAAATAGTTATATAAAAAATGTTTTCTATTTTGTGTAGCTGAATAAACATGTGGATACTTGAAAAGTCTTAGAATCTTTCTTTCTATCTGACAGTACAGTTTATAGTCTGAATCATATAATATATTTGAAACTACCTTGTATATTATAAGGTGATATACAAAGTTGGTCATAATGCTGTACAATTCAGTTTCATAAATAATGCAATACTAAAATTCAGTTCACACTTTGAAATAAAAATATCTTATGTGAAAGCAAAACAGAAAGAAGACATATTTTATGCATGTCCAGTGTCACTATTGTTTTAACATATATACATTATTGAATCCCAGTGGCATATAAATTGCATAATACATTCTATAGGACGATGAGTTCACTAGGAGGTAATTCTATATATGTGAGGCAGAATGTGAAAAATTATAGCTAATTTTCTAGCTATAAAGCAATTTTTTTACATAAATTTCTTTTAAAAATGACTAGTGAAAAAATAATCTGATTAAAAATGGAAAGATGGTCTGAATAGACATTTTCCCAAAGAAGACATACAAATGGCCAGGCACATGAAAAGGTGCTCAACATCAATCATTATCAGGCAAATGCAAATCAAAACCATGATGGATATCATCTCACACCTGTTAGAATGGCTGTTCTGAAAAAGACAAGAAATAACAAGCACTGCTGAGGCTGTGGAGAAAAGGAAATCCTGGTGCACTGCTGGTGGGATTGTAAACTGGTGCCACCACTATGGAAAACAGTATGAAGGATCTTCAAAAATGTAAAAATAGAACTACTGTATGATCTAGCAATTCCACTTCTGTGTGTTTACCCAAAGAAAACAAAAATGTTAACTTGAAAAGATATCTGCACCCCCATGTTCACTGCTGCCTTATTTACAATAGTCATGACATGGAAGCAACCTAAGTGCTTATCAGTGGATGAATGGATAAAGAAAATGTGGTACATACACATGTGGAATACTATTCAGTCATAAAAGAGAAGCCCTGCCATTTGCAGCAAAGGTGGACCTGAATGGTATTATGCTAAGTGAAACAAGTCAGAAAAATACAAATACTATATGATCTCACCTATATGTAGAATCTTAAAAAAATAAAAAAAAAACCCAGCTGAACTAATAGATACAGAGAACAGATAAGTGGTTTCAAGAGGTAGTGGGTGGAAGGTGGGTGCCATTGGTGGATGTCAAAAGATACAAACTTTCAGTTAAAAAAAAAGTCTCACCACATTAGTAAGAATATACTCCTTTCATTTTTTAGTGATGAAACCCTAACTACTTCTGAGTATAGATCAGCATCTTTTGAAATAATTGAACAAAAACTGCATCTTCCCTGTGCTACCACTACCAGTGCAGCATCTTATCTAATAATGGTATCAGATAAACTTCTGGAAGAACCACAAAAGAAATGAGTTCCTTGTTTTCCTAATAACTTGTTGGTATACGAATGAAGGAAGAGCATGGGTGGTAAGCCCATGCTGGCATATGATACTTTTTCTTTCTCTTCTTTCTAAAACAGAACAGACTTTAGGAATTATATTACTTACACGTGTTAGAGGAATTTTAAGAGACTGTACATTCATAGGATAATTCATAGAAAACAAAGTGAAAAAGTCAAGGCAGCAGAGAAATCAAACTGGAAGGAACTTTAGAGGCCATCTAGTTCAACTCCCCTAGGTGGCGGAGTGCAGGGGTGTGGAACTTCCCTTGGATGACCACACAGTCTTGACTTGGGCCCCTGTGGTTGAGTCGGTGTGTGCTGGACAATGCTGATAGACATTATTATAGTGAGTTCAGAGGCTCTGTGCCTTTGGGCATATTAGACAAAGGTACCTCTTTCGACTTACAAGAAGGTACCTTCTCTTCTGGGCTGACTGAGCCAAAGGTCACATAGCACGTTGAGTAACTATACTGGCTGGATTGCAAACCCACCCGTTGGCCAGTGCCTTTGTGCAGGGGGTGAACTGCATAGAGAACTTGTGAGCTGATGTTTGCTTCCTTATAATTTTTAGAGTTGATGTTATTTTTGTAGTAATAAAAATAAATGTGTCCCATCTTGTGTATGTCATGAGATATTGAAAAGAGATACTATGCCTGCCCTTGATCTCTCTTGTTCATGATAGGCAATTTCATCTCCTTCAGTTGATCTTTGTATTAACAAAGCGAAGCCACTCATTATCATTATCTTGGTCAAAGACACTTTTCTGAATGTATCCTTGATCTCTGCCAGCTCAGGGCTGGTGGGAGTGCCTAGCTAACAGATAATTTTTACCTCCTATCTGCCCTGGCCAGAACTGTCAAGAAAGTGGAGTTCCTTGTCTCTTTCTTTTTCCTCCTTCTAGGATCAGACATTTAACTTTCAACACTCTTACCAAATTTCCTTTTTGAATTGTTTCTCTTTGGCTCTTCATGTCTCTACTTAATGCCTTCTCTCCTTGGTAACGCCACTTGTGATTCCTGATTTCAACCAGCAGAAAGCTAAGCAACTTGATAAAACTGAGTCACAGAAGATACTTGTAGACTGAGTCATTACTTTCATACAAAGTTACCTGCATTTTCATAAAACTCTGGATGGTAAATATCCATGCATCATATCCAGCTGGAGAGAAAGAGAATTCTGGGTATTAGGCTCTTTTTATTACTCCTTAAATAATTGTGGATGTATATGGCTGATCCCATTTCCTGTACTCATTTGTCAGTTAGGGAGTTGGAACTTTATCTCAGGGCACAGTGAAAAGTCATCAGAGGAGGTTATGTAGGGAAGTGATATGATTAAATATGTGTTTGAGAAAGACCATTCTGGCTAATGGGGGATAAAGATTGGAGAGAGACTGGAGAAAGGCTGTTGTAGTATACACATTAAAGATGGTGGTGTATAGATCTTGGGCACTGGTTTGAGGAATGTTAGGATGCTGCAGCATAATTAGAGACAGAAACAGCTGGAATTGGCCATAGAGTGGTCGAGGAGAGTAAAGGAGAGGGATAATCAAGGAAAAAGTCATTTTCCTGTCTCAGGCATATGAGAAGTGGATTTCAGAACACCGAAAGAATGATATATTTGAGAGGCAATGCATTTGAAGTTGTAAATTGCAGATTCCATTTTGAGCTTAATAAGCCTGAAGTATACTATACAGTACAGGAAAGAAAATGACATCTCAGTATCTTATCCTATTAGAGAATTTTTATCACCAGACCTAGAAACATTTCCTTAAGTCCAATCAAATCTTGTCTGATTTTACTTCAGCCCATTTCCTCATCAACATTCAAGATCAATCTTGAGACATCACCTTTCTCCAGTATTGTCTTTTTGAGGAAGTAATATTTAAACTGAAGGTTATGGCGTGGGGGATCCCAGCAGTGAGAACTCTGTGTTCAAAGATGAATACACAATAGGGACTCCAAATTTCCTCTATAAAAGGGCCATAGGTTGTCAATCTCATTGGAAAAGGAAAGTAGGTGATGAAAGAAAGAGCTTGTAACTTTCTTTTGAAACTGGATTTGAAACCAGCAGTTCACTCTATGTTTATGTGGAGTAGGATAATTTGAATCTGTCTCTTTCTGATTTCAGAGCCCATAATGTCCTATCTAAATACATATTTTGATTCCTTCTATTTTATCTAAACAGTAGTCTAGATTACTCTCTGTCCTTTTTCCCTATCTTTTCTTTACTATCATTTATTACTACTTTACATTGTACATTCATTTTCTAAATTAGAGTATATTTGTTTCCAGAATGTAAGTGTCCTGAGGTCAAGGACTTTATTTATTTTATTCATTGTCCTAAAACATTGTCATTGGGATTTTTTAGTCTTTTCTATCTCTTTGCTCCAGATCAATGATTTTATTTAACTTTTACAATGTCATTTAATTAAAAAAAACTTACTCTCCTTAGTTAATTTGCATTAGTATATACAAATTCCACCTGCAAGATCAAAGGAAAAATTAGACTATTATTTCAAATTTTTCCCTAATAAAAAGTATTCAGCCATAACATAATTTTAAAGGTAATTTTGTATTGGATTTGAAAAGCTTTACAAAAAGTAAGCTTTGGCATAAAAGCCAGACTTGATAAACTGATTCTCAACATAAATAGTCTTAGTTATTTTTAATGTGTGTATGCAAGACATTTTATTATTTTGTATTTTAAGGGTAAAACTATTTTCTGAGGTTATAGATGAATGATCAACACAATCATTCATACCTGTCCAAATGTATTAATATTTAAATTTAGTTTTCTTGTAGCTTTCTTCTGGGTAGAATTTAATATAGAGAATGTTTATTTATGTGAATGCTAAAGGCATTTGAATAAGCTATGGGAGCATTACAATGTAATGCTGCTGGACAGAGGATGATTTTTCTAGACACCACGACTAATAATTCTTAACAATACCTAAAAACATTGGAGGAAAAGCTTGAACCATGCTGGCACCAGGGACAGACAGGCATGAAAGATTAATGTAATCTTGCATATAATGATGCACATTCTTACACAAAAAATCCATCTGCAATGTCATGTCAGTCAGCAGAAATCTTTGATGGGTGGTTACATCTGGGCTGTCTCTTCTGGCAGAGCTTCCCTAGAAAATGCTAAATGTGGTTGGGATGCTTGGTGCCATCTGCAGTGTGCCAGTTTATCCTGTCTTCACTGGCATTTGCAATACTGCATAGGGCGTTGTGACTGTAGAGACAGCGATAGGGACTGACAGATTCTTTTCCTTAGAGGATCCAGCTCGGGTGGGCCTGTGCCACCCGCCTCCTCGGCTTTGGATCAGTTATCACTGGTGTTGGCTTGGCTTCATATTTTCACATCCAGCTCCTCTTTTTAGTCTAGCAGTTCCAGATACACATTCTTCTAGTATGTAAATCTTACACTAACCTTTTGACTAATTTATTCATGTAAGGTTGCCAAAGTGATTTAACATTGAGTGTTGGATGCCAGCTAATATGCCTTATTTTCAAAATACTGCTGCTCTTAGGCTTCTGATTTAAAGGAAATGTGTGGGACTAAACAGACAGGCACCAAGATAAATGATCTAACTGCTATGTGTGGGATATCCCCATGACTTATGTAGTTGGAACAACTATTTGACCCTCTTTTACATAAAGCTATAAAACACATCAGGCAAGTAACACTTAATCCTCTTACCCATGATTAAAATATAAATATTCAAGAATAAGTGTTGGTTTATGACCTGACCATATGTTTATCATATTATTTTGCCAACTCAAGTTAAAAAGAACATTGTTTAAAACTTTCACTTTGGTGTGTGTGTGTGTTTTTATTTTAATAGTCACGGAATACGAAGGGCATGCGCTGTCACTGCTAAAGGAATGTCAACTACAGGGATTTGATGGGTAAGTTCTCTTACCAATCTATCTTTGTCATATAGCATATACTATTATTTTCATTAGTGTTTAGCCACTTGGGGCCTATAATTTTTAGTATTTGTGATCTATGTAATTGGGCTCTATTTCATTCATATCTGTATAATAAGAATGAATGATAATAATGATAATATGGCATGGTCATCCACCTCTCATGGTCAGCCATGGGAAAGCAAAAGAAGAAATCTAATTCTAAGTACTGGGAATTCACCTTATATTTACCTAATGTGCATAGATTTGCATCTATAGTCCTTAATTCTTAGCTTTAATTGTGTGAGTATCTAGAAAGCATTGATGGAAGCTATTATACTTGTCATATGGCATAACTCTACTGTGATCCTCTTTTGTAAATTTATAGGTAGTGTTAATAGCTACCTACTGGTTTATTTGGCTGTGACTGATTAAGGGTAAATATTTTATAAAGAGAAATTTATTATTTGCAGCACAAATAAAAGATGCTAATTTTAATTATCTCTTACAATTTAGTTGCTACCAAATAAGTATGTTATTCACAGTAGGCATCAGAAACCATTTGCAATACATGGCTGGAGTGTGTAGAAATTGTTCACTGGCATGCAAACATTAGAAACAAGACAAGTGACATATACTTTAGTAGCCCTTCTTTGAAATTAGGTGAGTCAGTTTGCTAAAGTGCTGGACTGTTGTCTAAGACAGAAACGTATTCTTCTGGGGGAGAATTTTTTGCAAGGGTGGCTATTTCAGAGTTCTAAAAGGTGGTAAGTATATGAATCATTTGTGTCACATGGTAATGGGTGAGAGGGGCAATAAGACTCAATATCAGGAAGGGCAATTGGGTCTTTCAACACACAGAACTATTAACATGTTTTAAGGAGGACAGTGATGCAATGAAAAATGGGACATTAGCAGACATTAGCATGGTTTTTCAAAAATGCTCCATATTTTTTGGTGGGGAAAAATGTTAGTGGGTGGAGAATAAAGCTGGGCAAAAAACATGATTTCTCAAAAAGGAATTTAACTAAGAGGAATAAATCTAGAAGGCAATATTATAAAAATATTGAGGCTGAAAAGTATGAGGTAAGAGATTACTTCAGGGCCTTATGCTTAGAACTAGACAGATTGGTTAATACACTACATTTAGGAAATCCTCTTGCAAGTATACAGTTTAAGAAAAGTAATTGGGGTCAGTCATGCCCACTAGCTACCTACCTTAATATGCTGCATAGTCCTGAAACACAGCTTGTGAGTATGTAAGTATGGCTGCATTGTGAATAAGTCCTTGCTTCAAAATATGGTTATATAAATAATGAGGATACCAGATATGATAGGTATTAGATCTTGTCTTGCTGATCAGCATTGTGAAATGGTCCACCAAATGTGGTATCTATAAATAAGTTCCACTGGTAATTATATAAGGTTCAAGAAGAACTTTGCAGAATTGTGAAAGATTGTTGCTCAAATGCAGCATAGTATTACTTTCCTCTTTACCTGAATATGCTTAATTCTAGTTTTCTTCACATGGCAGGTGTTAGCAGGTGTTGTTATTTTGCATTGTGGCACTAAAAGATATATAGATCCTGTAGATACTACCCACAGTTTTTTAACCAAATAGTTTGGCCTAACCATTATATGAATTAAGTTTTAGTAACTTAGCAGTTTCTAAACTCTGCAGGATGCTGACTTATTTAAGACTTCAATAATTTAAAACTTCTATTGAAAGTCATCTATCTTCTAAGATCCTTTAAACAGCCCATTTATCTTTTGTGGACCCAGCTTTTCCAGTAGGAGCCAATATGTGGTTGGATAACTATCTTAATAAAGTGGGAATTTCAAACTGCTCTGCTTACATAGAGAGGCACATAAGAAGAACAATAGAAACAGTTTCTTCAGGCACTTCAAAAGAATAATTCTCTGTATCTGTGAGTTTTGTCATGTTTTGTTTATTCGTTTTCTCTTTTACATTCCACATATAAGGGAAATCATACGGTATTTGTCTTTCTATGACTTATTTCACTCAGCATAATACCCTTAAGGTCACCCATGTTGTTGAAATAGCAAGATTGGTGGTTGCCAGAGGGGAGGGGGAAATGAGTGAAGGGGATCAAGAGGTACAAACTTGAGATTACAAAATAAATAGTAAGGAGACATAGTATATAATGTATGGCACAGTGACTATAGTCAGTACGATAAAGTATATTGAAAGTTGCTAAGAGAAGATCTTGAAAATTCTCATGAGAAGAAAAAAAAGTGTTTTTTGGAACTCTGTATGAGAGTAGATGGTAATTAGACTTAGTGTGGTGATCACTTCAAAATTTATAAAAACACCAAGTCATTGTGTTATATACTTGAAACTAATATAATGTTATATGTCAATTACACTTCAGTAAAAAAGAACAATTCTCAAACAAGTAGAATGTTTGAAAATGGAATGCACTCCGTTTGTGACTTCCCTTCTCCTGAACCTGTTCAAAAGTGGCCAGAGGAACCCTTTTGAGAAATATATACAAAAGACTCAAGGATGGGGTAAGGTAACCCCAAGAGTCCATAGTATTTTGATGAGAGAGGGCTCACATTCCTTTAAGAACTTGGACCCAAAGCATCTCTGCCTGACTGTAGTGGAGGGAGTGATTAGCAAATCACCAAAAATTTGTAAACACACACCAGAGAGGTTAAGCTCCAAAAAAGATTCTGTGTTTTATTGAGTAAAGCAAAATGATTTGTTGAATACTGCTTAAGAAATGTTATTTGCTAAGATTCTGGAGTTTTTAAAATGAGTTACATGTTTCTGTGAAGCCATATTGTGGCATATTTCTAAAGCCAACAGGAGCAGGGTATCAGTACTCACGACAGCTGGTACACAACGCCGGTGTGTCCTTGTAAACACTCGAGATCCATTGCTAAAGCTTCTGTGAGCATATTACCCTTTATTACCTTCAATATTACCCTTTATTTATATAGGGTATGAGTAGGAAGTTTTGTAAAGGCAACAAAAATAGTAGTAGTAGGTGCAAAGAGTGATATCAGACTTGAAACAGGAACAGTGGAATTTGTAAATGAATATGGTTGAGCTAATATATAGCTTTATATAATTAGGAATATACTAATATTTTCCTATTTTATTTTAAACTATTTTTTATTTGAATTTGAATTTCAGTTTTTTTCTTTTGTTACCATTAGTAGGACTCACAATAATCTAGACATATAACTAACATTGAGATCTTATCACATTTACCATATCTGTTATTAGTAAGGTTAAAAAATAAAAGGATCTCTTTTCAAAAAAGAAAAATTTTAAATAAAAAAATCCAATAATATACTAAAAATTGCAGAGATGATATTGGTTGATAGACAAATACAGAAACACCCACGAGGTCGTAAAAAGGTTTTAGCAGTATTGAGTAGGGTCAAAGGGTAGTAATACTAATTTTAGAAGTGCCATAGAGCATTAATGTCCAGTAGATGAAAACCATTTCAGGTCTGCAATTACTGCATTCATATACTAATGATAATTAGCAGTTCCTTAAATTAAACCTTCATATTTTACATGATTTTTATTGCTGTTTGTCTTTTTAGAGCTATATTGAAAACTGGGATTTTATGACCTTGGTTTGTGTTAGTTAAATGAATTGCACATGACTATGATTAACATAAACAAAATGAGAATAATATGCTTTTGGATATTAACAAAGCAAAATGCAGGTCAGATGTGAATGAACATATTCAAATGTTTTAATGCTTCTTAACCCATTTAAAAATATTTTGTCTATGAGGTATCATCTAGGTATTTTATTTTTGCAGTAAATTTTACTAGTACAATGCTAGTGTCTCTTTATTCATCAACACATACTAAAATGTTCGAAGGTGTGTGTTATCATGCATATGTGCATGACTAATATTTTGAAGTCTAGATTTCCTAAATTATTACCAGTTATTTTGAAGTTGCATTCTTTTAATTTCTTGTTTTCTAGTGTTGTTTCTGTTGGTGGAGATGGATCTGCCAGTGAAGTAGCCCATGCTTTGCTTCTTAGAGCCCAGAAGAATGCTGGAATGGAAACAGACAGCATCCTGGCTCCTGTCCCAGCACAGCTTCCACTTGGTGTAATACCAGCAGGTAAGGGAGTGGCCATGGCTTTGCTAAATGGAAACCTCCTGCCTTTCCATTTTACTTCCTAACCTACACAGTGTAATTCAGAGTTACATGCACAGGGAAAGCCCAAGGCTGGCATCTCCACTAGCAAATGTGAGACTTTGGACAAGTTATTTAATCTCTTTGAGCCTCACTTTTCTAATCCATAAAAGAGTGATAACACACATAATATGTACTTCATTAGCAGTTACTGTAGTGTTAAATTAGATATGTGGAGGGTTTAACACATAGTTAAGCTATGAATAAATGGGATTATTACTCTACCTTCCCATAGAAAGGTCTAATGATCACACAGTACCAGATAGGAAATTTTAAAACAGGGCCACTCTAGTCAAGCTGCTTACAATTTTATGTGGTAAAAGGTGATAGCTCCCATAATCAAAATATAAGCAAATAACCTTGAGAATGCCAAAAAAGACTTTTTCTGACTGCTGTATCTCTAGCTGCTAAGACTAGAACGGAACATGGCACAGTGAACACTCAATAAAGTTTAAGTGAATGAATATAAAGATGCCATGGAGTAAATGCTACTTGCATTAAGCCTAAAAATGGGTAGATTCTGGCCTGAAAAGATGAGAATGAATTATTTTCTTGGCTGTAAAAATAATAAATGCCAAGGCAAAACCCAGGAGTGCTGAGGAATAGAAAATGGGCCATTTGTTGGGTGATAATGATGTCAGAATAAGTCCAACTCATGGTGTCTCCTGATTGCCACAGGAAGTAGTCTGAACTGTATTTGATAAACAGTAGGGAACATGGGAAGTTTAGATGAAGGGAAAAGCACGCTTGGAGCCTGTTTGGGAGGTTTCACAGTTAGGGGAACGGAGCAGGGGAGAGTGGAGGGCAGGGCTGGGGAGAATAGAGGAGCAAGACAGGGACCCAGAAAAGAGGAGAACAGTCTCACAAGTTTGTTCTGTGGGTCACTCCTCCCAAGTCCTTATTTAAATAAATAGTCAAGGAAAGTGATTCTTTTCATTTAAAACATCACACATTATGATCTCTACAAGAAAAGCAGAAACAATCATTCTTCCCTATGAAAATAGAAAGTAATGCACATGGTTGAAAAAAAGTCAACATGCTGTCCATTTGATAACCAGATGCCTTTAGTACGGATTTCTGTTGACAAAGAATAAAACATATACAACTGCCGCGTTTGAGTATAAAGTCGCTCATAAAAACAGTTTAAAAGGAGAGTGACGTTTGAATATATCCTGGTAATTGTAGAGCATATAGAGAAAAACCTGTGTTGGTCTTTAAGTAGAAGAGAACAAAATAACATCAACTTGAAATGGAAAAAATATGCATTAAGGGCCAGCCCACTTGGACCTTTTTGTATCGTTTTTGTAGCTCTGTCTATAATGGTAGAACTTTTTCAAGATTTCCTTGGGTGCAAAGCGCATGTGCTTATTAAGTCACTGTTTCTCTTCATTATTGGTACTTACACTCCTGAGGTCACTCACTGACTGTCATGACTCATTAGTGGAAAGATAGGTGTCCCCACAGGTATGCATTTGACATAAAGTGAAGAGTTCACTAGAAAAACTGGTGGTTATGCTTATAACTCATTATAAAGGTATAGCATTGATTATTGTCATTATACCTTTTAAGTATCTCTGATTTTGAAAGCATTTTCTATATGCAGTGGATATGTAGAAATGCCATTTGAATACTGTTATTGTTTAGAAGACACAGCCTATTGCCAAAATTCTCGACACTGTGCAGGAGTTCTAGCTTATGGATGCTATAAACCGGAGGAAGTCACGTGTGGGCTGCATTTAACGTGGGGACTCCATGCCTAGTCAGGGCTTTGCTAGAGAATGGGGACAGGAGCTGGGCAGGAAGTTTCCAAGCGAACTCAGAAGACAGTGTCTTTGAAGCCACTTGCCTCCTGGAAGAGAGACACCCAGAGGGAGAGTGTTTAGTAAATTACTCCACCGAGCCAACAGACTAAGCTGCTGAATTATGGTCAGACTCAAATGGATCAGATGTGGGGAAGCCTGTATTTGAACTCCTGGCCATTAGCAATGGTGTTTGTTGCTATGGGAACTGGTGCTGAGGAACTATATAGAGAGATTCCGATTAAAGGGGTGGGGGGAGAATAGAAAAGCCCGAGAGGACATAAAAATAAAAAAGCAATCCAGTTGTTGTAAAACAAGGCTCAATCCACATACTGATGGCTGTGAACCATATATTCCTATAGAGTTCACATAAGTAAATTCATGCTTTCCAATTAATTTGAGAAGAATAAAATATTGCCAGGGGACTGTTAATTTCTATGATATTTCAGGCAAAGAACCAAAGTGTAGGTGCAGTTTTCATGAGAATTTTAGATATGCTTGGCTAGGAAGTCATTACATCACATTTATCTGTTTGGATGTGGGAGACATTAACGGCCTTATGAATATTCATGGTGTCTGGTTAATTAAGTTAACTGTTCTGCAGAAGTGCTTACACTTCCAAGGACAATTTTTTTCATTTTTTCTTCTTGCCTCTGTAGTTTCTGCCTGGTACCTCCATCAGTCCTGCTTTACATGAACTGCTACTTCTACTCTTATTCTGTATTTGGCACATTTTAACAGGTCTGGGGAGGTGGTGATGAACCAAGTTGCTGGTAGCATTTAGAAAGATAACAGGCAAATTAACATATTTACCTTGAGGTAGAACATTTATAGCTTTTGTGAGAATGCGAGACTTACCTAGTTGTTTTTGATGTGAGCAGCGCGGCTCTTATGGCACTGCAGACATCTTTGCAGATGGATCACTTTTTTTTTTCCTGGAAATTGCTATTTTAGTTAATCCAAACAAAAATATAGAGCAGTCTATAGTTTTACAATTTTACTTCCATTTTCGTCATTGATTTTCCTTTTTAATTCGGACTGTAAAAAAACCGTTCTTAAGGGCTAAGGTACAGATTAACCAAGAGTAGATGACTGAGATCATCATCCCACTTCTGGCCACGCCCATCCTCCCTGCTAAATTCTACAGAATGAAAGCAAACTTGCCACACTGCAAACCCCGAGGAAATATAATAATAAAAAAAGTGATTTGTGCTCGGGCATGTTTAGCATACTTAAAACTCACAGGGAGTAAACGGATTGTATTTTCTTGAGTCATGATATGTGTCATTCGCTATTGCACATGACACCATTATATTATGTTTTTTAATAGCCTTTCTAGAGGAATGCTTTTATGGTCTACTCCTAATTAACCATAGTAATGGAGGAAATGTGTTTCATGGAGTACTGTAATCCATTGATAGTCCTAAATATCTCACTCTAATTATGTGGCCTCCTCTAAAACCTTTACCATAAATCTGATTGGGAAGCAAAATAGATTGATTTGTTTCCTCTTTTTTCCCCCACCCACTCCAGACTAATTAGCAATCAAGTGGACAAAGGGCAGGCTGTAGGGGGTCAAAGGGTAAGTGGAAAGACCTAGGTAATTGACTTCTTGATAAAAGACCCACTGAGTAACAGGTTTCTGTACTACTTGTTCTCAAAATTCAGAGTGTATAAAATCAATCTAGAGAATTTACTAAACCATGGACACCTGGGCCTCAAACTCCAAGATGTTCTGATGCCATGGGTTGTTGGTGAACCCACAAATTGGCCTTTTTAAAAGCTCCCAGCGATGCTGCTTATCCCAGGACCATACATTCTCGAAGAGTGTTTCTCCAAGTTAGTGTTACATGCATATCCTGAGGATCTCATAAAATACAGTCTCAGTAAGTCTGGAGTGGGGCCTGAGAGTCAACATTTTAATAAGCTCCCAAAAAGAAGGACAAAAACCACACGATAATCTTCATAAATGCTGAAAAAGCATTCAACAAAATTCAAGTCATTCGTGATAAAAACTCTCAACAAAATGGGTACAGAGGGCAAGTACCTTAACATAATAAAGGCCATATATGACAAACCCACAGCCAATATTATACTTAACAGTAAGAAGCTGAAAGCTTTTCTTTGAAGGTGGACTTTTATTTGCATAGTATTACTGGGGGTCTGAAAATCATTAGTGCTTAGATAGGTCCCTTATGATTATTATTATTTTAAGACAGTCTTGGTTGATAGTGTCTGAGTGCCTCATCTTCTCCAACTGAGCAACCCAAGCAACATCAGTTCAAAGTGATACAAATTGAAGAGAAAATGTGCGACCACACAGGAATGTTCCTGATGAACAAAGCCAGGCTAACCTTTGCTGTAAGAGCTGTAGTATGTAACACACCCTTGCTTTCAAAGGTCTCTGCTATTACTGGGTTTCTTTCTCCTATTCTTTAACTCAAGAAAAAGTGTATCATCTTAATTTTAAAACCTTTTAGAGCAGGAACTAGTTGGTATATTCCCCTTTGGAAGCAAGTCTTTATCCTAAGAGCTCAGAGACACATGAATGTTATAGGGGCTTAACCTGAGGAGCTTTTTCTGACTATAGGCTGGTGGGAAAAGTTCATGTGGATCTTACATGATTTTAATGATTATGAAAATCAGAAATCTAATCAATGCAGATTTTCATACCTTAGCAAATACCATGGAATTAAATATTTTCTTCATCTAAATAATAAAAGGGAATCCCTTTTTGGATGAGAGCTTATTTCTAAAATTTATTAGATGTCTATGAAGTATGTCTTTTGTACTTTATAGTGAAATTTTTTTCTTAGTAATTATTTGGATTTAAATTATTTAGGTATTTATGAATTTGTTTCTGATGTCCAGAGCTACCCTTCAGCTGCTGGTGCTCACTTGGGTATAGAAGTTAGGAGCCCATTTATTAAAGATGAATCAAGTGGACTTTGATTTAGCTAGTATTTTGGGGATAAAAAAGACATGGATGATGGAAAAGGCTGTGAGCAAGTAGATACTATAAACTATATTCTATTTAACTCATTTAAAGATTGAACAATAATTCAGCATCTAAGCTTTGAATGAAAACTTACAAACTTCCACTAGTTTTTCATAAGAGCATTACATAGTGACATCCCTATAAAGTAAGAGCAAATGGTTAATTTAAAATATATGCTACATTAACTGTACATATTTTCAAATTGGTTTGGCAGGATCTACTAACATACTGGCACATTCTCTTCACGGAATCTCTCACGTGGTAACTGCAACTTTGCACATTATATTGGGTAAGAATTCTTTCAAGTAAGTTCGTGTTTTATAAGGAAGTCTTTATATTTATATAATGAAGGCTATTTCATTTCTATCAGACTTTTTAAGAGAAAATAGGTTCTTTGTCTCTCAAAGTAGAGAAATGTTTGACTGAAAAACCAAAGTCAATTAGGCAAAGTTTCACTATTTGAACTGCCTGTCTTCAGAATATAGGTGCTATAAAGAGCAGCAAATGAAGTTTTATTATAATCTTAATAGAGAAAAACATCATAATGATGCTCAAGATTACAATTTTAGAACTAGATAAATAAAGCCTGTGCATTTTTGACTATACCAAGATTCTAGGGCTAAGATAATGTTATTAAAAGAAAAAAAACACAAGAAAAATTTTTTCAGCCATTGCACAACCACTAGACCTTTTATTATCCCAAGTGATGGAAGCATATAGGCTCAGGTAAATGCAATGCAAAACTGTTGTAAATCTAAGTTTACTTTGTATGTGTACTTCAACTTCACTGCCTTGACCATTTTTTTAATAAGAAAGAGCAATCAATAAGCTGCAAAATTTTCTGCTTTGTGTTTCTTCCCTTAATACCTGAAAAAGTTACAGATGGTGATTGCAATCATTGTAGGTGAAGGGATATGAAGAGAAAGGAAGGATATGCATTGTGGTATAAAGTAGCTCGTGATCTTCTTCTATAAGTAAATAAATATGCTCTTCTCTGTCTACCCTTTTGACAACTGGCCAGTCTGCACTCAGTTCTATATGCAGTCAGTTGAATATGACTAACATTCAATGTCATATTCAAGGGCACATACAACCAGTTGATGTCTGTACCTTCAGCACCACTGGCAAGCTTCTTCGCTTTGGGTTCTCAGCCATGTTTGGCTTTGGTGGAAGAACTTTGGCTCTGGCAGAAAAACATCGATGGATGTCCCCTAACCAACGGAGGGATTTCGCTGTAATTAAGGCACTGGCAAAACTTAAGTAAGTCTTTTTCTTAAATCCAAAATTTTGTATGCCAGAGTCAATGACTGTTAATAACAAATTTCATTATGTTTTAGGCCAGAGGACTGTGAAATATCATTTTTACCATCTATCAGCTCTCAGGATTTACGAGAAGGGTAGGTAAAAAGTCCAAAGTAATATAGAAATTTATATTTTTCTTCAAAGCATAAAACAGCTTGATATAAACTGTTTATTAGACTTGTGATCTTTGTTTTTCTAACAAACTAGTCAAGAACATAGAATTGTGGAGTCCTACAGATTCTCGAAGGCCATGTAATTTGGCATCTGCCCTCATAAACAACCATTCATTCCATTCACCAGCTACTCATTCATTCATATATTCAACAGCTGTTTATTGAGTGTCTGTTATATGCCAGGCACTTTGGATACAATAATGAGCCAAAAACCAAATTATTTTTTAGAGTCCTCATGAAAATTTTTGTCTAGGGTGGAATACAAGTATTACTCAAAGCCATGCAAAAGAAGTGCTCTAGTCTTAAAAAAAAAAAATTGAAAGTCATTGTCACCTATGTTACTACTTTTAAATCAATCAACACATTATAATTCAGTAATAGAATTGTTCACGTAGTTTTATACTGTTTTCTAAGAAAACATTTAATATATGTAATGTTGGATTCACCAATTTTCTCAATTGAATAGATGTTATTTTTTGTGTGATGTGTTCTTGTTTCTTTGTTCTGTGTTCTTACTTTTAGGAAGGTGCGCGGATCTCCCAGATCTGGTGAGTTCAAAAGTACCTCCTTGTGAACTGAACCAGGCTCTGTGGACATTTTGCTCTGGTGAGGGAAAGTAACCAATCACTTCCATTACCTTTAGACTGTAGTGGCCAGTGGCAAATGACCCAGGGTCAGTTCCTGAATGTGAGCATCATGGCGATCCCTTGCCAGTGTTCAGTGGCACCAAGAGGCCTGGCACCTAATACCAGGTTAGTAAGTGTTTTTATTGAATCATTGATACTTATCTGTAAACCAAATTTTTCTTTCAGAATATCTTGTTGACTCTTGGCTAGATAGCATATTAGCAAGAGGTAGTCTCTGACTGTATATTATTAGGGATTCTAAAGGATTTGTCATGAGAGTAGACTGAGAACAGTTGTTAAACTGGAAAATTACAAGACAATCACTTTCTTTTAAATATCACTGAGGCTAAAATAATGGTCCTTATATTTTACTGACATGATTTTCTTATGTTATTTTATGCCTATTTTGCTTGCTTTGTTTATTTACCAATTATTGAGAACATTATGTTTAATTCTGATATAATGTCTTAATAAGTGTCTGCTTTCCAATTTTAGTGCAGACATAAATATAATCATGTAAAACATTTATAAGCATATATATATGATAGTGTTGATATATTTGATATCTTTATTCAAAAGAAACATTTGAGTTATATTTAATATGACTAGCAGTACATATGAGTCTACTGCCTGGATTTTCATGAGACATTTTACATATTATTTTATCCACAAGATACAGATATTCCATCTCTTGCACATTATTTTTCAGGTTATCCATTTTTGGTCTGAAAATATTTTTCTAGTATTTGCCTAGAGCACAGAAAAAAAGGATCTTGAATATTTTGTAATCAGAGTCAAATCTAGATTTTCCCCGGAAGGGGAATAAAAGAATGACTTAAGTATTTTGGCAATTTATAATATTTCAATGACTGGTTTCATCTTCCCTACAAATATTTAACCCAAATGATTAACAGCTAACAAAAGGGATTGATTTTAATTTCTTTCCTTGGCAATTGCTATAAAGGTAATAAAGGGAAATGTCCAAAGTTAGAGAAGAAAGAAACTGCAAACTTTGACATTAAAAATCCAGATGTCAGGGTTCTCATTACTTTAGTGCTGAAAAGTGAGAGCATTTTGAAATTTGTGTGATTGAAAAATTGAGTCTGATTGTTTCCTTCCACACCCTTAGAAACCCTAGGTAGTGGTGTGCCTCCCTGTTGGAATTTCCTCCACTACAAGTGAAGACATGGCTAGCTAACTAAAGGGACAGTGCTCCACAGGACTTGAGGCAATGCTTATCTAACCCTACTCCATCTCTACTCTTACTTTTCCTTAAGGACCTTCATGGGAGGTAGCCTGCTCTTCTGGGGATGGTTGATTCATGAAAGCCACTCCATACATTCTTCAGCTTGCCTGGAATTCCACTGCTTACTCTCCAGGTTTAATCAGTATTGATGAATTTTTCAGAGAAGGGTGACTTGTCAGAGATTTATTTTGTGGGTTATTATCAAACATGCCATTTGGGAATGGTCCTTACACTGGGCCTTGGCTGACCAGAGATAGTTGGAGATTTATCTTCTGAATGATTCAAGATAAACACACAGGAGATGCAACTCTCAGCTTTGTTATTTTTTTTCCACGATAAAGTATAATTTACTTCACAATACCTCAGTGCAAATTGCTGATAGGAACTAATATTTTCATATTCTAATATTAAATGCATATATATGTGAAACATTTAGAACGGTGCCAGACACATAGAGTATATTAATTACTAGTAAGTGTTTAAAAGTAGACATATACCATGTTATTCATATGAATGAGTAATAAGCAATTTTTAAAAATAAAGGATACACAAGACATTACTCTGAACATTTTGGTACTACTGTTCATTTCCCAGAGAAATAAATTGGGAAGAGGTAACATGATGGGTAAGGAGCACTGGACCATGGAAATTAAGAGCTGTGGTTCCAGCGATCATTTTTTCTCTTTGTGTCTTTGAACAGATAATTTAAACTTGGGGTCTTCTCTCCTTTGTGCATAAATCAAGTGAAAGAATGTATAATTTCCAAGGTCCCTGAAGAGCTCTAACCTGAGTTTCTGTAAGATTTTAAGAGCCCTTTTTTAAATGTCATTGTTGTTATTCTCGGAATAACTTTATATTTGCACTGAAATTGGGCTACAAGTCATTTGCACATATTTCTGCAAACTGCCTTCTAAAGCTGGATGTGAGTAGCTTTTCTGGCACTAAATCACATCTCTAAATTTGCAATCTCTTATATGAGCTAAACAGTTATGCAAGATTAAAATGCTGAGTCGCTCAACTGAACATGTGTGGCAGCATTTGTTCATTCCGTTTCATTTACCCAAGGGCCACTTCGATTTATTTAGTTTCCTATGTCACTTAGACCTGTCCATAAACAAATATTTAAATCACACTTCAGATTTTAGAAAGCATTGAATGATTTGTTATACTGTTTTTATTTATTAACTATTTTACAATACATCTTTTAAAAATGTACATGCTTTCACATTTTGAATCCCTAAGGAAATACACTGGATTTTAAATTATGTCTTGATAATGTGAATGAATGAATGATAACTTGTTTTTCAAAAGCCCTTAATGTAAGAGGTTACTGAGAAGGAAATCAGTTGTTTAATAAAACTAATTTGAAAGGTTGTATCATTTAAGAAATAACACAGCAAGATATTATTTAAGAATTTTAGGTAAATATAATCATGATTTATCAATATTGTGTAAAACTTGTCATAAACATTGTATCTGTTAGAAGGAATGGTAGAGTAATTTCTGATGCAATCAGAAAAGTTCTTAATGTCAAACACAAATATTTTGTTTCAGATTAAATAATGGAAGTATGGCTCTTATAATTGTACAAAATACTTCTCGACCAGAATTTATAAAACACCTGAAAAGATATGCTAGTGTTAAAAATCAGGTATAGTAAACTCTTTTTGTTATTTATATGCAAAGCTATCAATCACAGAGAGAGAGAAAGAGGTGCTGAAAGAGTGCATATCAAGTCCTGCTTCATAAGAATGCTTTTTCTTAATACATTTATCTTTTTCAATTTGTGTTTTCTTAAAATTTTGAAAAATACCCACCAGTATTAATATAGACTGGCCTTTCTTGAGTTACTGGTTGGCACATATATATATTTTATGTGTGTATGTGCAGAGAAAATACAAAATGTAGTGTTATATTGAGATGTGAAATAAGTTAAGGATAAAATTACCTACTTGGCTGTTCTTCAAAAAGAAAAGTAGTAAAATTTGAGATTTTTAGCTTTATTGATTTTATGGCAGCAGACTTTCTCTAACTTACGACGTTTAGATTTTCCTGCCATTTGTTTACAGATCTGCCTACATTCTTTGACTGAAATAGATTTGCAGATATATATTTGAAAATAGCACTTCCATACAGACATTATTTATTTTATACAAAACTACAGTGTTTGGTGGTATTTATGTAGATAGGTAGGTAGATAGAGTTGTATTCCACGTAAAGGATTTGTTTTAAAGAGAAGCACTAACTATTATGAGCCATATTCTTTTGGCAGATATTTTGGCCCAGTTACTATGAAACTGATCCAGAAATATGTGACTTTCTGAAATTGTGAGTCTTGAAGTACACAGGCTTGAAGTACCTTCTAAATCTGTAGTCTCACACCATCTTAAGGTATAAAACTCTGCCCGGATACAGTTGGCAGAAAACAAATAGGAGAAGAAGAGTAAATCCAGCCATTGGCCAGCAGTTGTATCTTGTTTACATAGTTTACTATTGCAAGGCTTACATTTTTGCCTCTTTAAAATTTGAAACTTTCTTAGGCAGTCCTCATGAAGTTTCTGTTCTCTTCTGCCTGCTACTATTTGATCAGAGTTTATTGAGCAGGGAACCAAAGTGTTCAGGAAATTATATCATAAAAATTAGATATAGTTCCACTTTCCTTAAACAGAAATCTGTAAGGAAACAAAGTAGACAAAAGCAGCTACAATGTGGATTGTGAGCCTGAGTAATAACTTTATGTATGTGTGTTTTGGTAAATACAGTGATTTACTGCTTTTCAAAGAAATGCTGGCCTTTTCAGATGGTACTAATTTTGTTTGCAAGTTTATTATTTTTCTTAATTCAAAAACATGTTTATTGTTACATGTTCATTGTTAAATTTTTCCTACTCAGAAAATAGAAACAATACAAAAATCACTCAGAATTCTATATTCCAAGAGAGAATCAGTTTCATTACCTTGGTATAAACTTTTCCTCATCTTTTTCTACTGAATAAATGAGAACTTAAATGAGTATTAACCTTAAGGTGCTTAGCCAGAGAAGCTCTGTATTTATTTTAGGAGGCATCTATTGGATAACTTATTTATGATGTTCTCTCACAGAATTGCCTAAAGGGTAATTTTTATAGACTTTTTTTCAATATGAAAATAGCTTTCTTCTAATTTTAAAAGTAATAGATGCTTAATGATAAAAATACATAGTAGTGAATCTAGGTCTGTACCTATAGGAAAATACTTGCTTTCATAAATATTGTTATGTAAGATATAACCTATTTTCCCCACATACTCTACCAGGTCAATCATATCTTGCTTTTGATACAAAAACTATTGCTTATGGGGATGAGGGGGATGGGGGCGTTCATTAGGTTTAACTGATTGACTTAGCTCTTTCCCCAAATTAAAGTCTATGCTATTGCTCTGTAATTTTTACAAAGAAATTCTATAATGTTTTGCATAATGTATATATCAAGAACAATTAGATTGACTCCCAAGGTGACTGCTTTCAAGCAATGTTAATTTGATACATTTGTTAAATTGTAGGCACATATACATATGGTATGTGTGTGTAGTCTCTTCTTCATGGTGACATTTTAAAAAATGTAAATTTATGTAAATTATGTAATATTATAGTAATCAGATAAATGTAAGATTATATAATCTACTGTCTTAGTAGCAGTTCTGGTATCCAGGAAGGAAAGTGCAGCACTTCAGCCTAAGAACAGCAATAATATAAGTCTCTGAACCATCTTTACCAGTTGAATTGAATGTTCATAAATATTAACAGTTTTTGTGGGGTGACTCATCTTGCCTTCCCTATTTCTGTGTAAAATAGATAGAAGGTCAAAATTACCTGTCAAGTCCTTTCAACTCCATCCCATTGCTGGCCTCCTTTTTGCCTATTCATTCATTTCTACATTGACTTCGATCATCATTTTGGGTACAGAATTTACAAAACCCTTAAATGTGAGTCCAGGGATCTGTTTGCAGCCTTTCTGTCTTCTCATAACACTGTCTCCAGGTTGATCTCATTGTCCCCCATGGTTTGAAACACTATCTGAGCTTTGCACACTTCCAAGAGTACTGTCTTCTCTTCTGATCTGCAGGACCACTGTGCCTTTCCATGTGCTGAGGCTATAAAACCCACAGGCATGTTGAATCCAGCATGTCCACAGCTCACCTTAATGCCTCTTCCCCCAGAGGTGCCCCTTCCATGTTCCCTGACACAGGGCAGTGGCGCCCACCTCTGCCCACCCTCCAGGTACTCTGCATTCCAGTCACTCCCTCGTTCCTCACATCCTGTCCACCAAGCAGTTCTACTTGTTCTCTTAAATGTTCCTGAGATGTTTGTCTCACCTGAGTACAAACCTTAATCCCTTCCTGCTTAAAATAGCCTCTGGTCTTCTTTTCTCTAGTCTTGTCTCCCACACTTCTTTCTAGAGGGACTTTTCTAAAGCACTCTTTTTGCACTCTTTAATTCTTCAGTGTCTTCTTCAGTGCCGTCAGGATGACATCTAACTTCTTCAGGATGGAGTACGTGGCTCGTAGTATAGCTCGTGCTGTGTCGCAGCCTCTTGCCATTCTCCGCCATATGCCTGTGTTTTGGTCATTGTATTAGACTTCTCAGGGTGTCATAACGATACCCCAGAGGTTGGCTTAAACAACAGAAACTCATTTCTAAACAATTCTGGAGGCTCAGCGTTCAAGATGGTGTTGGCAAGTTTGGTTTCTCCCGAGGCACATGGCTGCCTTCTGGCTGGGTCCTGACTTAGTTTTTCCTCTGTGCTTGTGCTGCGTGTGTCCCTATTTCCTATTTATAAAAGGATACCAATTATTTGGATTAGAGCCTATCTAAAAAAAAACAAAACTCATTTTAACTTTATCACCCCTTTAAAGACCTTACCTCCAAATATGGTTACATTCTGAGGTACAGGGGGCTTTAGGACTTCAACATGTGAATTTATGGGAGAAGTAGACACAATTCAGCCCATATAACCATATGTCTATTTTTAAAAATCAAATACAGGAATTTATATATTTTTCAAAATAAATGCCAAAATACCAGTACTATTATAAGTATCACAGTATGCTTAATTTTTTTTGTTTGACTATGATGCATCTCTACCTTTGCAAACGTTCCCTCTTTTCAGACCTTCTTCCCTTCTCATCCAGGCTACCTCTTGTGTTTTCTTTAAGACAGCTCAACTGAGAAGCTCCCCAACATCCTCAGCCTGTCTGCCTCGTCTCATTTTTCTCATTTAACTCTGCGCTTGCACCATTATGACACTTAGATGCATCACAGTGTTAACTGTGTGTTTCTCTTCCTCATATCCTAAACACACTCTCACATATGATATTAAGCTCTTGGCCCCCTAAAGTCCCATCTAACAATGTCTGTGGCTCCACTGGTAATAGCTTTTCATGGAGCTTCATTTTGTGAAGTATGCACATGAGAGCTGATGATTTAAGATAACAGACTCACTGGTGGCGGCCATTGGTTCCTGGTATTCCTTGGTTTGCAGCTGTGTCACTCCGGTCTTTGACCAGAACACCAGTTGTGCTGGAGGAAGGCCCACCCTAATGTCCTCGCCTTAACTTGGTTCCACCTGCAAAGACACTCTTTCCAAAAAAGGTGGCATTCACAGGTACTGAGTCAGGATTTCTAGATATCTTCATATATCTAGAAGCAATTTAACCTATAATAGTCAGTTACCAATGACTCATTTAAAACATTATTTTCAAAATGAACGATTATGTACAAATTATTACTATTATTATGAAAGATGATCCCATATCTTCCACAGAAAGCTGCCTGGGGACCTATAACTCTATATACCTCATTCAGAACAGCTGATACCAACATGTAACCCCACCACCACATAATTCACTGTGTAACCCAGTGCATTACACAGTATAGACTGTAAAGTCTGTTGGACCTTGCTTTTTACATATGTAAAGTAAGGGTATTCGGGAATATATTAGTTTTCTGCCAATTTTTAAAAATCTGTGCTTCATTGATGTTTATATGTGAAAGAAGGAGGAAAATACATAGATGCTAGGAATACAACTCATGACATTTATCTGCAAACTGAAATACATGAGTAGTTATTGTACATTTCTACTAAAAAGTTATTTAGCTGAGTTATTTCAGAAAATACATAATGTATTTTCATTGTTGTTTCCTTAGGCAAACAAGAAAAATTGAAATTTTAAGGTTATTTTGCATCATTCTAGAGTAGTCAGTAAGCAAACACAATTATCTTACAATTTGTGTTCCTCTTTAAAATGAGAGGAGATAGGTAAACATCTGTGAAAGTCACACTGGAGTGACCTCCTCACTTTTGTAAGTTTTAGTCCTAGGTTCTTCTCAATTAAATTCTAAGTGTGAAACTTATGTTAGAGTTTGCTTTACCTCAGCTAAACTAGCTGAAAAAATAATAATCAAGTCAGTAGATTATCTAAATCTTTTCTTTCAACAGACCAGTATTAAACACTCAATCTTTAATTGGAAATTTGATGATATCAGTACTGTATACAATTTCATAAACATATTAGTTCATAAAACAAGTTTGCCAGCTAGTAAATCTGAATGATCTAAGAAATCTTTAAAGAAGGGGTAACTTCTTCCTATGAAATTGAGGACCCCTAGACACCATCAAGAGTTTCAAAGCTATAAAAACATCAGCACACTTGATGTTTATTTGCAAGAGAGAGCACAGAGACTTTCTTAATTTGCTTTAGCAGTTAGAGATAAAACAAGTACCATGATTATTTGCATTTGTTTTATTTAGTTCAATTTTCCATTTGTTGAGACTTACACTGTGGAAGAAGTAAAGGTTCACCCAAAGAACTGTAACAGTGGACATAATCCAGAGGAGGAGGACGGACCACATGAAACTGCTTCAAAAAGCAGTTTTCCTTGGAATGTAGATGGTGATTTAATGGAAGTTACATCAGACGTCCATGTTAGGTAAGTCTAATTGTTTCCCTGCCTTCTATGTCCACCAACAGAAGCAAAACTAACAGCATAACTGAAGCCTCTTGTTGCCAAATATCAACTAGCTAGATATTTCTAATTAGTAAATCAGGGAAGCATAAAAAGATACATGTAGAATTTTAATAAATAAACTATGTTTACATTTATGTAGAACCAAAGCATTTTCTTTGGTTACAAGTCTTTACGTTGGCATGTCTGAATTACCACTCTTCATAAATCAGACAGATAACATGTCTATAATTTCTATTTTGAAGTTTTAAAAATAGATAAAGATCTTAAACCTTGTGAATACATCTGAGTAGCAGATTGTTATCATCCCTCAGTCTTTTCAAATTTCCTTTCACTCGTACCTAATATTATAATATAACACTGTGTTCAGCAGTTTGCTTTTATCAAGTCTTTCCAAAGCATTCAAATTACTTTACATAGGAATAATTTTACATAGTATTTTCATTAAGTAACAAGAGCAACTGGCATAAACAAGCTTAGAAACATACAAACTCATTTTAAGTTTCTCAAGGGGAAGAGGTGGTGTGTAGAGGGACCCTGGGTACCTCAGCAGACATGAGCTTCCTATAGACACAATTGATAGGGCTTTACAGTCATCAGGGGTGCTGAACTGTCAGCCACACCCCAAGTTTTTTGTAGACTGCAGCTCTACCATGAATGTATATTATTGGCTGTCATTACATTTGTATTTGGTACTATGCACCATACTCAACAGGTGTATGTGTGAAAAAGAGACTGAAAGGTTGATGAAATAATTATACATATTATAATATTCTTTACAGATTGCACCCAAGACTTATCAATCTTTATGGAGGAGGCATGGAAGAAATGAATGATTCCAAAGTAACATGTAATTGTTTATAAAAAGTATATGAACTAGAATTTTAATATGAAGGAATATGGTCATGCTTTAAACAAATATCGTAATAGGAAAAAATTCTTATTTTTAAAGAAATTAAGGTTTCTATTTTTGCTATAAAATTGCTATTTTTAGAACCAAGAAAAAGCAAAATATGAAACATACTAAAAAACAATTTAAATTATTGTTTTGGAAACATTTCATATATCATAATGTTTAAATTTTATCAATATGTAAGCTCAATAATTCCAAAGTGAAATACTTTGGATTCTATCATTTTTCAGGATTTGAGAACATCAATTCTGATCTTAAATTTTAATTCTAAAAATAGCCTGCTACAAACCATGCAGGAATGCCCTGATTTTCCTAAATTACACGGTTAATGATATAAAAACTTATTCCCAAAATCTCTCCAATACTATAGTGCTTGCCAAAAAAATCCATGTTTTTAAAATTTATGGTATCAATTTTGTGAATATTTTCTGAAAGACAAAAACTTTGATTTCCTTTAGGTTTGTTACAAATTTTAGTTTACTATGTGAAATAGTTGGTCAGAATCTGGCCTAGAGGGGAGCTGTGTTCCTCTTGCTCCTGAGAGTTATGTTATCTGGCAATTGGCACGTTGTTTTCAGTGTACCCAATAATACCTGAAATGATGTTGTTTTGACTAGGAAAGAAACAAATTTAAATTTCCTCGGGGATCATCCTTAAGAAAGCAATTCTAAACTGGCATTTGCTTTTCCAGTGATCACAGACAGTGTTTTGAAAGAATCACTTGGCTTTATGTAATGAAAAAAACATAAAACTCTTTTGCTCTCAACAGTGTTCTTTAAAAATGCTATCTAAATTTAATTTCTCTTGGTGCACACTGAGGTCAGGAGGTTTTGTGGTCATTGTGATGTGGGTTTGCTGCTCAAATCCCTTCACAAATCTCCATACATTCCCTCCTCTCCAGCCACCAATCCCAGACTACAGGTTTGTGAATGGATGATTTACAGGAATTAGGCAGTCTGAGGAAGATAGCTGTTGGCAGGGACTTTTATAAAAATAACTCTAATTTATCTATGGGATCACTTTTCATAACAGATTTTCAAAATTTGGCCACAACCTTCTTATATGTAAAGACAAACATAGGACACTGCAGATGAAATTATATTCTGCAGTTATCAGCATGTAGTTCATATGCATGAATAAATATTATAAAAAGTGATTGTATTTGCAAATGAAAAGGCAGTTAAAATCTAGAAAGTAACTATAGCATCAAGCAAAAACTTAAAAACCAAAACCTTATCACTAAACCCTATATCATGGAAATTCTCATGTCACATTTATAGTCTCCGGATATAAATCTGTATTTTGAAATGCACATTTAAATCTGTGAATTTTGTTTCTTCATTTCAGTGAAGAGAATGTTCTTATAGACCTATAAGAACACATTAGTTTACTCGTTTCAAATGTAAGTATTTGTGAATTTGCTCGACTTGATAGCCAATATTTTACATACTATCTATCTGTATGAAAGAAATACCAGCCCCTGTCTCTGCAGAGCCTTGAGTTAAAAAAAAATCATTAGTGAGGTACAGGTTTCATATTTTACATACATCAGTGTACTTATATTTCAAATATCAGCTAAAGTGCAACATTCTGTCTCAGAATATAAATTAGAATTTTAAATACTGTTGTTTTATAAACAAAAAATTTGACTAAAGATGGATTTAAAAAAATTACTCCTGGGTACCCTTGATAAAATTGTTATGTGAGGACTAGTGAATTTGTACCTCTGTAAACGTATATACTTTAAAAAACTTGTGTAATATATACAGAAAGAAAAAAATCCATACCTATATAATTATCCAGAAGTCATTCCATTAAGCTCAAACCACTGTGTAAGTTCAGTATGAAGTTTGTTCATCAGCCCACATTACATATACTACAAATAAGTGTCTTTAAAGATCTGCTCTAAAATAATGGTTCCCTTTTATTCATTAGAAAATTTGCGAACAGCTCTTTGAATTATGTTCTTTAAAAATATTTAGCAGAATTTTTCAAACAGATCTCAGAAATGAATCATTACCTATTCAGTGGAATTAATTTTACTGAAGCAAGCACATATGACAAATAGTTCTCTTAAAGGAATGATATTTCAAGCCCAAGACTTCTCCAGTCGAGTTGTTTACCTCTGCAATATGATGATTTAATTCCGTTGCATTTACATTGCAAGATATCTTCGAGGGATTACTTATCTTGAATGAATTGAATGCTTTAGTGTTTTTCTATCCATTTAAGAGCTGAAAGATTACCTTTGGATATATTAAATATTACCTTTGCAGGTTTTCTCTCGAAGACATTGCTTGGGTTTTTGAATATTACTTGGATTTTTCATTCGCATTAATACATAACATGCCACAAGGTCACAAGTGGAAGAAGTCTCAGCAAAATTAGTAGTTTCTTGTAAACAATGTCTTTAGTATAACCTGAGTCTGTTGTTAGTTCTCTTAATTGGAAAGAAGTCTTTAATCATCATCGCTTTTACTGTTAACATAACTCCAACTGTCTCTTTTGTTTTCTTCTTGTAGGATAGATTTGTACTGTCTTTTAAAGAAGCCAGCCTGAAAATAGCATTTCATAATTACTAGTGTATAGTTATTACACTTATATCAATAAATAGTCAATGACAATATTAAACTGTCCTCTGTAATCAATAAAAATTAGATTGCTAAATATTGGATTAAAGAATCTTTTTTTCTTTTACTACAGGACCTCTCAGTGATGCATGTACACTCTCCAAAATTCACATTCAACATAATGCACAGTATTTTCTAAATGCTTTTTTAAAAAGAACATCTTTCAATGCTAGGGTTATAGCTTGAATATTTAGGAAAAGTGAAATCTGTACTACATATTTACTTAACAACAAACATAATGAAATATTAAATCTAATAACTTGGGGAGGTCACAAGAATGGCATTTTAAGTGGCTTAACACTGGTAATTATCAAAGACTTACCTTCCACATAACATAGGAAATCAGTAGAAGTAAAATAAGTCCGAGTAACAAGCTACTTGTAATAATCACTATAGTGAAATGACGTTTGGGTTTTTGATGATGTAGTCCTTCAAGCAGAACCTACATAAAGAAGCATCAGTTTAAAACCTGTATCCCCTGAAGCTCCTTCCCAATCTCCAGTAGCATTTAGAACAATCCATCCCATTCTCTTGTGGCTTTAACCCCAGGAAACGGTAGCTGATAAGGAGGATGGGCTTTAGCCATGGTTCTTCCTCCAATTTATCCTACCAAATTCACCTCCTCAAAGAGCTGTCTGTCATTTCCCACCCACCCCCCACCAAGTTGTGGAAAATGCCAACTCTCAGTAAACTATTCTCCTGACTCAACACCCTAGCAATGCTTTTTCCCTGCAATCTTAATGTTTCAGTTAAAAAGGTAATCTTACATGTGCAACATTCTCATCCCTGTTAAGTTCAATAACTTTTGGATTTGGCTCTGAAAAAGCTGTTGCTCTTATTTCAAACTTGAGAGCTGAAGTGTCATCCTGTTTAATAAAAGAAAAATCATTAAAGCCTGATTTATAATGTTATTTCATGAAGACTATATATATATATATTTATATATATATTAATATAAATAATTTCCTTACCTACTCTCTAGAGGTTTTCGCAATTTATCTTTCCTTATTTCCTTCACCATTTACAGTTAATTGTAAGGCAATGCTTCCTCTGGTTTCAAATGCATGATCTTGGTATTAATTATATGGCATCCTTTCATTGAAACCTTTTTCTTAAACATGGCCACTTTGCAGATAACTTGAGTTAAATATTTGTAATACTTAACATTTATCATTTGGTAGTTTTGAATTTTTACCTCCAAACAACACTTTTTTTTACCTGAAAAACACTGCTTCAAGTATTTTTATTTGGGTTTCTTTTTATTTCTTTCTAATAGTGTCATCTTACTGCTCTGATCAAAAACACACAGTCTACCTAATATCATAATGGGAAGATCTGGTACAAATAAGTATAGCCTCCAAATACAAAATCAGTGGGTGAACTGAGAGTTTTATAATCTAACACAAGGACTGTAATGCAAGGACTTCATAATGCAGACTTCATAAACCTCGGGGATCTGTGGATGGGCTCCAGAGACTCCAAGAAGCTTTTGAAATTATATGAAAATTGAGTTTTTTCATATGTGCATACACTAAGGTAGATGAAAATCTATTTTTTAGTTAGGTTCTTAAGAAGGTCTATGATCCTCGGAAGTTAAAATTACTGTGTAAAGATCATTTAACATTTTGGAGACAACATGTAGGGCTGAAAGTAAGTCACCTACTTTATTAAACAAATGGTTTCCAACAAGGATGACTTTGCCCCTAGAGGACAGTCAGGGAGGTGGTGTTATGAGTATCCAGTGGGTAGAGGCCAGCAAGGCTGCTAAATGGCCTACAGCACATGGCACTGTGCCAGGTGACAAAGGGTTATCTGCCCCAAAATGCCAGCAGTGCTCGCTGTGGTGAAACCTGGACCTCAGGAATATGAGAGGGCAAATTCCAAAAGTTTAACTTGTTGATGGTTCCATGACTTAGATTTTAGCACAAACTAGAATTAAAACAGACATCTGTTTCTCTGTCTAGGGCATCTTTCTCTTGACCACCATGTGGTAATTTCAGATATTCCTCTTCACAGAATAGCTGCCATTTCCTTTGGCTTCGTATGGGCCATATACTAAATGCTTTATAAAAATCATCTCATTTAACCTGCCACACCCTTGCAAAAGGGATATTACCCATATTTATCAGATAATGAAACCTTAGAACTTCAGAAAAAATCAATTTATCTCAAAATATTTCTTATAAATATGCATACTCCTTTCTAGGAAGAAGTCTGAGGTGTATTTAACTTTTTAAATCAACCTTTCCAAGCTCACCCTTGTAAAAGTGTGTTTGTATTTTATTGTTGATAAACTTTGGTATTTTAGTTTGACTTTATCAAAGCCTTAATTTTACTTCTTTACTTAAAAAAGTACTGGATTTTTAAGTGTAAAGTAGTTTGGAAAGTACCTTAAAGTTATATGAAATGTGAAGGTAGCCAATTTCTTTGGTTTAATCAAGATTCATAAGCAGTTGGACTTCTTTCTAAAATAAACCTATTATTCTGTAGCCCCTTTTACAGTCCCTAATTTATCTGTTTAGTTATTAAAGTCATATCATTTAGACAATGTTTTCAGTTAAAGTGATGAATGGAAACAGTTTGAGGTTCACTTCCAATTTTACTTTCATTTATACCTTCTTAATTTGCTGAATGTCTCCATACATGCCATCCTACCTATATATAAGATGGTAGAGTTACTCTATGAACTTATCCACAAAGTTGTCACTATATTTTAGACTTGCCATTTCTAAAATGGATGTCCGGCCTTCCAGCTGCAGGTGAACACTAGCTTCTTTCCCATTTTCCATTTTCCCAAAATTGCATAAGAATTTCAAACAATGTGGATCAGCTTTTATGCAGAACTTGAAAAGAATACAAAAGAGATACATTAAAATTTCAACATTTAAAAAATACATGGCTAAAATATCTTACATGGAATGAAAAAACCTGCTCCCCTAAATGGTATTTATAAAGATTATCTTGCTATAAACATGGAATTGAAGCTTTACTTTCATTACTGGCATTCACAAATTATCTTGCTTTAAATAAAATTGGTTTTTAAGTATTTGTTTAAAAGAAACAAAAGTTTGTTTTGTAATATTATAATAATTATAATAAAAACAAAGTATCTGAACTGGAACATGTGTTCACCTTTTTATGAGCTTAACTTTCTGGGATAGAATTAAAAGACTGCTAACCAGAGTCTTGCTAAATTACATGTTCTATGTTCATTGTAAAACTTTGATTATTTGAGAGATAAGATAGCTCAATTTTTTTGTTTCATCAATTCACCAAAATCAAAAGAATGAAAATTAACCTCATGCCACAAATGCTGCTCAACTGACCTCCTAAAGGTCTGGAACAATGTTGGGTTGGCACAAAATGGGTATGAGTTAGATAAATAATATAACTGTATGCTATATATGTAATCCTGGGTCTGTCTCAATTTCCCAATCATGCTTGTTATTCACACATAAGAATATCACCTGAACCCGTTTCTCTCTTACACTCAAATGACAGCTCAAACCCATTGGTTCTGGGTTTTAAGTGTTTTAGTTCTGTATATGGGAAAGCAAAATTTAAAACCTGAAAAGTTGGAGCTTACCAGTAGCCTCTTATCAGTCTTTGACAAGAACTTCAATATGTCTTTCAGGGTCTCCACTGCACCTTTTTGCTGCTCTGATGCACACTTTCTTTGGTAAGGTGTAAAGTGACATACTCCAGCAGTAGTCTTTAAGGACAGGAAGAGAGAAAAATCTAATCATTCAATATTAGAAAGAACAATACAAGCTACATGGTTTTAAAAGTTCCAGTTGCTTAACTTCTCCTAAAGATATCCAATACTTGTGAAATTGTGAAAATATTTTTTGACAGATTTATTTGGGAAAGATGAAATCTCTGTGGCAAAAACCCAGCTAATTTCAGAGGGTTGGATATAGGTCCTAAACAGATCAAATGGGCTTAACCTTACAAAAAATAGGGCAACGTGAAACAGACGTGTGAACACTGGTTTGCAGTCAAACATTCCTTTGGCTTTTAGATAACAAAACAAAAGAATAATGTGTTACAACAGCATGTCCTGCCATCTAAATCTGGAATTCAAGTGAGATTCTTAAAAATTACATCTTAGACCTACTTCGTAGATTTATGGTTGATAGCTTATCTTGAAACTGGGAAGGTCAAAGAAGTTCTGATGGAATCATCAACACTGGTTCTTAAGTAGTTATTTGGATATTATTTCTTAAAAAAAGGCTGAGATACTGATTTTTCAACAGTGGTCCCAAGCTTTACAGAGAATTCTACCAATGAAATTACCTCCATAGGTCCATGTCACAAAGAAAACGTACTGAAGATGGTACAGCAGAGGTTCTGCTGTAATCCTATAGTTCTACTGCCATGTACGATATTTAAAGTGTTGTACTCAAAAATGCATGGTGCATTCGTAGCTTTGAGTAAGGGTGACTGAAATAACTTCACATAAATCTCCATTTTAGCAGTATTAATTATAATGAAGGAAGGAATGCATTTTTACCTGGACATCCAAAATGTTGAACAGCTTCTCGGTTTGGGGGATAAAAGAATTTGGTACCATTATTTCCATACTAACATTTGGAGCCATGCTATAGCCAGTGTTGATGACCTGATAAGAAGAAAACATTTTTAAACACCTTTAAAATACTTTTCATAAGTGTAAGTAGAGATATCAACAAACTTTTAGGTGAACCCATATGTTTCATGTGAAATTTATGATCATGAAGGTTTGTAGTTGCTGGCTGCACAACAAAGGTAGACAGAATATCCATAGAATTTTGCAAGGTTTGTTAATAGTTTAACTAGTTATTATTCCTAACCCTCTCTGTTTGATTTTGATTCGACCTAAATATGAAGGCTGATGGCTTATTGCAGAAATAGTCTAAAGAAAAACATACCAATAATATACATTTGTATGGTACATTGTGCATCTAAAAAGCCAGATCAATTGGTCCTCATATCTGTCCTATGAAGTGGGCCGACATTTCATTATACATCAGCTGAGAAAAATGCCAAGAGGGGTTAATTACGCGCTCAAGATGAAAGTTAAAAAGTGACAAGTATTGGGACCACAACCCAGATATATTCTAATTCTAAATCCTAAATTGTTACCACATAATCACCCTGTGCTGAGAAGCTAGTCATGGGCAATAAGTGAATAAAAACACATTTTAATTCAGATTAATTGTAATGCTGAGGCACTCAGAAAATTAGAAAGGGGTAAGTTATTGGGGTTTAGAGATAGTAAAACAGGCTTTCAATAATAATGCATAAGGGGATGATATTTCATTACTGTTAATAAATTTGAGGAATGAAGATCCCTGAAGAAGGAAAATGGGCCAAAATATTGCCTGCTGAGAAATAAACTATAAAACTAATATAGTAAGTCAGAAAAGAGATGTGCCACAATAGCTGAATGAAATAACATGATTCACAGACTTAGAATAATTTTTTGAATGCACATGACATAAATGAAGAAAGAGAATGTCCTTGGCTTTGGAATAGGAAGTTAATTGCTAGGCCATGGAAGCACAGGGCAGGTGCAAAAGGCAGTCAGCAAAGGGTACCCAGCAGGGCCCAGACCCAGACAAGGTCTTCCTGATGCCAGCAGTGGCCAGTCTGACCTACAATACTCTTCATCCTTGTTCGCACAGTATCACTCCATTGTAAGTTAACCAAAAACACTTGGTAAGTGCTAATTGCAAATTCATAAATAGGCCCTCTAAGAGTCCAGGTCAGTTTCTGTTCTCATTTATTGGAACAAAAACCCCCACTGGGCTCTGACAGGAGCATTTCTTGGGACCTCAAAGTAAAGGGCTAAATTTTTCAACACTAGTGTATATACTAGTATTGTGTATACTAGTATATACTAGTATAATACTAGTACTGTAACAGAAGCTTGAGTATTAATAGATTCAGTAGGTTTCCAAGGTCATTCTTTGTTCACAGATATGGAGCAAATCCCAGGAATTTTTATTTTGCATAAGTACCTCAAGTAGTTCTGATACACATTTTGAAAAGCATGCCTTACAAAATATCATAATGTACCTAATTCAGACTTACTAACATTCTACATTATATAGCATCAAGAATGTTTGAGCAGTGTTTCGGTTCAAAAATATTTTTATGGACATTATTTCCAATACTCATCATCAACATCCACCAAGCACCAAAAATTTGAGTTTGACAGTAAAAAAAATTAATGTATTTTAGCTCTATGTAAGCATGCTAATACTTCTAGCTTATGATAATGCTCTTTGTTTTTCAAAAAAGATTATTTAATAAATGGTGCATTACTATGAAAGGCTGACCAAGCAGACCTTAAATAGAGATGCAGGAGGCAAGAGCTTCCTACACTGGGTAATGTTGGGAATTGTAGAATGCTTGAACCAAGAAGAGATTTCACGGATTTACACCGAAAGAGGCCTTCTCGTGGCCTATCCTGATACCTGTATATGACTCTAGCTGATTCAGTTCCTCCATAACTTTGTCTACCTCAGGAATTACCTCTGTCCCTACTTGTCCTTTCCTACCGGTTCCATAAGGAATTGTGGGCATTAGTAACAGGGCCACGACAAATGGTGAAAACGAGAAGGGGCCCAGGAGGAAAAGGCATGAGTGCCTGCTGCCCACCCTGCCCACCCCCAGCCAGCTACCGTCACCCTGAGTGAGGCTGAGGGACATCACAGGTGTGTGATGTCCCCTGGAGCATCAGTAACATTCCTTCATTTTGTTGCAAATATCAACACACACAACTTTTCTTACATGGAAAGTGAAGTTCATTTTCTCTGCTATGCACGTTTCGGGCTCATTTTCATCCCCTGGTCCGTATACAAATGAAGTTGGGTTTACAAACCTGATAGAAGCAAATTCAAATTTTATTTAAGTGTCTTATTCAAATAGGGCACTATAAAAAGTCTTTCTTTACAGTCATATCTCTTAAATATGCTATAATCCAGATTACAAGTACCTCCTGAGTACCATGGAATAATTTTGGTTTCTTGGTGAGATAAGAATTTTAGTGAAAATGCAATAAAATTAGAAAAGCCATGTGCTCTGGCTTGGGTGCAATGTCTTCCCACCAATATCCTTTGCTTGCCTTCCTAGCACTGCCTGTTCATCTGCTGACCATTTCTCAAATGATTCATGTAAATTTAACAAATATGAGATAAATTCTTAAGTTTTCCCGACAGCTCCAATATCCGCCTGTACAGCCATCTAGCTTCCAATACACCAATTCCCACTGGCCAAGTGTAATGACCCTCAAGCCTGGGAACAATTCAAATACCAATAAGCATGGTAAGTTTTCTGCTAATACAAGGTTGTCACTCTTTTACCTGTGATTAGATATATGTATGGTAAGTAATGAACTTTAAGAAATATTTTTCTAGAGAAATCCCACAAGTTGCTCAAATTTGGCAGCTAATAAGAGGTAATACAAATTAGATTCGTTACACAGGAAAGAGAGATGTTCAAAAGTAGATTTAGGCAGTTTTATAGTCACAGAGCATTCCTTACCCAAAAGAACAAGATGTGGAAATGGAAAAAAAAAAATAGAATATTCATGATCAGAAAATCAAGGAAGGGAGGTGAGATAAGCATTCAAAATCAGGAAACATGCAATCAGCTTTTCTTTGCTTCCCACTGACTCCCTAGGTCCTCCCCACTCTCGAGTGGCTGCCTTTATCCCCTGCTTGTTTTTCTCTACTCAGTTCCATCCATTTCAGGCACTATTTTTATATAATTACATGCCATCTTTATGGGTGGTTAAAAATGACTGTGGCTGGTTTATATTTAGAGGAGCAAGAACAGCTCATCAATTTGTTCAGTATCTCAATCTTCTATTGCTTTAAAAATGTGAATTCAAACATAATACTCTGAAGAACCTCCAGTAAAACCACTAAAGGTTTTCTTAATACTCCTTTAATTCTTTCCCCACACATCTCCTTGTTGATTCAGAGGAGGAGCCATTTAAACAATTACTAAAATCATGAGGACCCAATAAGTGCTGGCTCCGGGGCCATGGGTGAGGAATTCCATAATTCATGGGTATAAAAACAAGGGACACCTCACAGCCGCTCACTCGTAACTCAATCCACCTGCCACATACGTAAGATGCAGGTTTAGGACAGTGGTGATTTGGCGAAATTCATACATCTCTTAACTTCACAATTGCCCTGGCCACTGAGCACGATGAGGTGAACTGCCCACTGCCCAACTATGGGCCCCTGGCCCACACAAAATAAAATTGAAAGGCTGGACGTGGCCTGCTAGAGCCTTACCGGCCTCTTCTGGTAAGAAATGTCCTCTAGCGGGGCACTGTTTCATGTGGTCTCAGTGATGATTATAGAGTGATTAAGGTAATGAACAGCTAAGCAATGACTGCAACACCGAGCTCATTGTTGAGGGACAGAAACAGCACAGGATCTTCTCTAAAAAACTTTTAAAATATGGTTTAACCCATAATACAAGAAACAATGGAATTTAGAATCAGCGCTCAACTTTACAGTAAGGGCCTCAGTATCTACCTACCCATGAACAGCTAGCATGACTTCATATTTGAGAGGTATTGTTACAGTTAGTTTGTTACGCTTCAGGTTGTCCATTTCCCCTTCATTTGCACTACAGAAGCAAACAGAAAATACCCTGTTAGAATCCATCAAGCATAAAAACCATCTTCAGAAAGACCTAATTACATACTATGTATATATAATATACTTGGAGGTTTTGGGGAATGGGCATAAAATAAAAGTGGATGTGGTAGTAAGAAATGTTTATGACAGGGTTGGCAGAAATTTGCTCTCATTATTTACACTGTTATTTGCATTTATCTGGTTAGAGGTTATTTTGTTGGTTCTTAGATCACTTAAGAGAAGTTTTCTCCTGCAGACAATGGAACACAACTTCACGGTTCCCCTAAGTCTACCCCCTGCCAAAGTTAGTGTCCATGTCCTTTAGCACAGTTATTTTTTTCACAATAAAATATACCAGGCAGCGTGCACTGTGATATTGAGATCCTCTTCTGCTCTGTTGAATGAGCTCACATCCAGGAGAAAGCTAATATTGATCTGTAAACACAGATAGGGAAAGCCAATTTTTAAAAATAATCTAAAATACATTTTTATAATCTGAATTTTAACTTTTCTTAAAGTTTATATTCTGTACAATGCAGATTTTAAATTATGTTTTAGAAACATAGGCTACCCCTCACTTGGACAATGAGGTACAGGGAAGCTACTGGGTTTGTGGCAATTTTAAAGCACCAGCATTTCCACAAGTGACATTCAGAGACAAAGACAGGCAGGTCCAGACTGACAAAATTAGAGATGCTTTAACAACTTGAGTGAGGACTCTTGCCAGAAACACCTTTTTTGTATAGCAGAGGTAACATGCCTGGCAGATATGACCCCCCTGGGCTGGGGTGGGGGGAGTGCTGGGGAAGGGTGAGATGGGGGAGCACAGTTCTGATTGACACATTCACATGCCTATTTTGACATATATATGTGCCCCCCCTCCTTCTTTTTACAGTGAACATTGCCAAGAATATAAACACAATCTCAAAGACCTCAAGCCCAGCTGGTTTTGGTTTCATTTCATTACTTAGAAACCCTAAGCAAAAGAAAAATAATAAATCATGTTTTGTATGCAGCATAAACATAGCAAAGACAGAAAATATTTTATATTCATGTCAGTAAACAAAAATTATAAATGCTAAATGCTTACCCTTGATAAATGATCTACATATATATAACCAACATTGCAGTCAAGTTTTACTATGCCAGAGCTGTCTGTTACTTCACAGTTTATTTGTTTCTCTTCCTAAAAGGAAAAATGAAACAACTGGTTTAGGTAGGAAGGTAACAAGAAGTCTGTGAATGATTTAAAGATGGCTTTTGAAAAGAAAATCAACCCTGAAGAATCTACTTTCCTGGAAGACTATTTTCTGTTTACATTTTGGATAAACAAATAGAAATTATATAAATGTGTATATATGTGTGTGTGTGTGTGTGTGTGCGCGCACACACACACACAATTTATATAATTTCTATTTCTATTTATTTCTCTCTCTCTCTCTCTCTCTCTATATATATATATGTAAGTTTAATATTCATGTAAATTCTCCACAGGATAATTTGTGGGCCTGTAGCTTTCATCAAAGTTGGTGTGTTTCCTATTCAAATCAAGGTTCAGTTCCTTGAAAATTCATGAAGGAATTCCTAACGTCCCTATTTCATTAGCTCTCTTCTGTCTGGGATGTGAGAATGTGACAAATGTATTTAATCACAATAACTGTAATCACAATATGTGTGAAATATTCTAATATATATATATTCAAATATTCATGAAAATACACTTTCATATACGTCAATATATTATGCCAAATACATCTATATACAGATATATAGTATATACATAGATGTATAGTTTCTTGAATATTTGAGTTTTCCCTCTTACTATTGCAAATAGCTCCCAATGCTCTAGGAAGAGGGGGTAACAGATATTTGTGTGAGGTCAAAGGCCTCTCTAAATGCCCTTGGTGTGAAGAGATGGTTTCTGGATAGGAGATGAGTAAATTTGCTAAGGGATAAGATCAGCAACAAATGAGAAAGCAAATGAGGCTTTTCTCTTTGAAATTTTAACTTCTTAATAGTTCGCTGATGGGTTTAAGTGTTCATGACTGAGTGAGGCGCAAGCTGGGTGCTTCAAACTCTTGAAGGAAAAGAGAACCTGCTGCGGTCTGGCCGACACCGACACCGACACCGACAGTGAGGAATTCGTTTCTTCAGAAACCAGACTGAGTATGTGAACTTAAAATGCAGAACAGTCAGTCTGCGAGTGCAAGGAAGACTAACACTGCTCGGGCAGGCCCCCCTCCCAAGAGGAACGGCATCCCAGAGCCTGGTGGGCGCAGATCGGGGAGGACAGCAAGGACCGCGAGCGGCTTCCTGGGTGACGGGTCAACCGTTTCACTCACGCAGTGGCATTTGGAAGTAGGACGTTGACTCTTGATCTCAGTCAGATCCCAAGGAATTTGGCATTTTGATCAGGAAAGGGGAAGGGCCGTGGAAGGGCACCCATATCACTGGAAGCCCCAGCAGTAAGTCTGAATATAATAACCCTGAATACTTAGGCCTCAAACTGATGAAGGGAATTATACCATTTACTTTTTTAAAAAATTAAGTAAAATATCCTGTAGTGTCATGCTATTGGGGTTCTCATTTCTTACCAGATCTAAGATCTTAATGAAGTAAAGACCAGCAGGTAGTTTGATATGCAGAGTTGTTTCATATGCATCATCTCCAGCATTAAACAGGGACACATTCAACATTAATGTCTTCATACGTCCAACAGCAAGATAGGTCTTATTTTCATGTGGCCTAAAAATTAATAATATTAGTTAGTTCTTGTTTGGCAAATAAAAATTCAATCTCATTTATTTATCATGAACATTAAATATTAATTTGGAAAAACAACCATGGACGATGACACCATGCAAGCAGATGCAAATACATGTCAAAAATAATTCAGGTTCTCATGTTTCAGATAAATTCAGTCAGCTATTACCCAATAAATGTTTTTTTTAGTTATAATTAAGCTAGCCTGCTTTCTACTTAATTTCTTTTGTTTAACTTCTATAATTTTAACACATTTTCCTCAATTACTTCACAATATTTTTCTCATAGAAAAGCTTCCTCCCTCCCCTTTTATTTCTCTATCCTTGAAGAGACACTGAACTATCTGCTGCTCAGACCAAAGGGGTAAATGAGGGTACCTGAGACAAAAGGAGGACATAGTTGCTCTTCCCACCAAAATAGAGGATGCTTTGGTGGAAGCATGCCCTGGGAAAGGACTGCTCTGCCCAGGAAGTGGATACCACTAAAATCATCCAGACTACAATTAATTTCTTAAGGCAGGCTGTTCACCCCTACTGATAACCAGACCAAATTAAAAATAGGATTGTAGAAATGCTTCACCATCGTGTGACCTGAACAGAGAAAACCGCTGCAAATCCTGACGTATGAATGAGTTCAAGCTCCGGCCCTGGCCCCAATTCCTCTGTGGGGAGGCCATTTAGCATTTTTAAGCCTCAGTCACCCATCTGTAATAATAACTCCTATTCAGTAAGATTTATTTGGCTCACGCACATTCCATGAAATCCTCAGAACCACACATTTACACATGAAGGACTTAAGAAATTTATTCAAAGGACCACAGTTAGAATGTTCTCAGGTCTCATGGTAAATACCTACACAGCCCATCCTCTTTCCCCACTGGAGGGTTAGAGGAGCTCAAAGAAAACTTCAGGCACAGAATGTTATGATTCCATAAGCTTTACTCAAAGATAGGTATTCTTAGATACCAAATAATTTAAAATTAAGAAAAATTAGTTCAACCAGAGAAGAATGTGACCCAAAGCAAAGTGTCAGTTGAGAATAATTGTAACAATACGTAAGGTAAACTTCCATCTAGCACTGCAGAGTTTAGAAAATTTCTTTAGTAGTTCTTGTATTGTATCATTCTAATTAATATCTGTACAGACGACTACTGTTTGAACTGTGGAAATATATGCTAAACACAGAGTAGGCATTTAATAGTTATTTGTGAATTAAAACAAAGGGTGCTCTGCCTATGTTTATCACAGCACTATTTACAATAGCCAAGAAATGGAAGCAACCTAAGTGTCCATCAGTAGATGAATGGATAAAGAAGATGTGGTACATATACACAATGGAATATTATTCAGCCATAAGAAGAAAACAAACCCTACCATTTGCAACAACATGGGTGGAGCTAGAGGGTATTATGCTCAGTGAAATAAGCCAAGCAGAGAAAGACAAGTACCAAATGATTTCACTCATCTGTGGAGTATAACAACGAAGCAAAACTGAACGAACAAAATAGCACCAGACTCACACTCCAAGAAACGACTGGCAGTTACCAAAGGAGAGGGGTTGGGGAGGGCAGGTGGGGAGGGAGGGAGAAGGGAATTTTGGGGTATCATGATTGGCGCACATGGTGTGGAGGGGGTCACGGGGAAGACTGTAGCTCAGAGAAGACAAATAGGGACTCTGTGACATCTTACTACACTGATGGACAGTAATGGGGTATTGGGGGAACTCAATAATAAGGGTGAATGTAATAACCACATTGTTTTTCTTGTGAAACCTTCATAAAAGTGTATATCAATGATACTTTAATAAAAAAAAGTCAGTCAAACAAACAAACAAACAAATAAATAAAACCAAGTGCTCAAGGACAGAGTTTAAGAATAAGTTTCAAAATTTATGCTTCTCAGCATCATGTGAGGATGCAGGAATGACTGACTTTAACTGAAAGCTCCTGTGTAATAAATCACTATGTTCATTACTCCCTAAAAGGTTTTTTTTTTTGAAATTTCCATCTTTGTAGAGCTTATATGGCAGTGACAGATCTGTAAATATTATAAATACATAGGGAAAAAGTTCTGAATTAAGGGCTCTGAAAAACAGGGCAGGGAAGTACTTTTGCCTAGGCAGTAACAAAGGTACGTTTGTCTTGCTTTCCTGCTATTCCAATTATTTAGGTCGAACTAAATAAAGATTTTTAATTTCTTTTTTTAAATAAAGGAAAATTTCATGACTGAACCTGAGTTTATGGGGGTTACACCCTAAACTGATTTCTCAAGTCCTCCTTCCCCAACCCCATTTCACACTGCCAGAGAGGGTCACTTTCTTCTTTATGCATCTGGTTAACTTGCCCTTGTTCAAGACTCAGCTGAAGTGTCAATGCTTAGAATTCTTAGAAGTTCTTCCAGCTGATCCCCACAGCTAACCCCTACTTCACTCAGCGCTGCAATGCCCCTAACAAATGCAGCTTCTCCCTCTTGCGAAGTTCACAGGCATCCCTAAAAGGCAGTATTTTCACTCTGTCCGGATTTTCTCACTGCTAGAAAAAGTTCCCCTGCAGAGAAGGTTCTAGGTCATGATGATCACTGTTTACTTAGAGCCTAGCAACACAATAGTGTTCAAAAAATGTACATAGTATGGAAGTGTATCAAACATTAAAGAGTTGGGTAACATTAAAGAAATATCCAAAAACTTAGGGAAATCATTGGATAAGTAACTGTGGAAGGTTCATGAACTTATCCTTCTAAGTTTTATCCAATTACAGCCATGTTTATCTGTTTGTTCTGTGATGGTGTACAAATTTCAAATGTTTCCTTAGAAAAGAAACATTTACTACTACCACATTCGTGTGATGTATACCCCACCCACACAACTTAACATTTTAGTGACAATACAACTAATAAATTGACCAATGAATTAATGGCAACATCAATACTGGAAAGAGTATAGTTATTGAGAAGTAAATTATCCTTATAAACCTCAGAATGTACAAACAAAATTAAATAATTTTGGACACTTCTCCCTAAATTTCATACCTGTAATAATATAACTCTAAGAAATGGATGGTTCACTTAACATCTAAACGTTCTACTCCTCTTATCCTGATTTTTTTTTCTATTTTAAATTTACTTATCAAGCAGAACATATAGGAAAATGCACACATCCTAACCATACAGCTCAGTGAATTTTTACAAACTGCACACATGAATGAAAACATCCAGAAAAACATTATCAGCATCACAGAAATAAGCATGTCCCCTTTCTGCCAGTTACTGCCCCCACCCACCATTTTGCTTTCATTAGTATAGACTGGTGTTGCCTAGTTTTATATTTCATATAAATGAAATCACAGATTATGTAATCTTTGGCTATCAGGCTTTCTTTATTCAAAGAAAAGATTAATTTATGTTGATACATGTAGTAACAAATTGTTCATTCTCACTGATGTATATATTCCATCTTGTCAACAGATTGTATTTTATTTATCAATTCAACTATCATTGGGAATTTTGGCAATTACAGGATGTAGCTATTATAGTCTTTTGGTGAATATATAATTCTGTTGGGTTAGTCAGTCTGTTGGTCTGTTTAATCGCTCTATGAGCAGACCCTTATGATTTGTTAACCCAGAACTAATCTATGAAAAATCTCTAAATCTAGCTAATTTTGTCAGCCACCCTAGATTATACTAACAAATTATCTTTAAATAACAAAATATACTATAACTAACTATATTTAAATAACAAAAAATAAAGACACACTACAGAATTGTCATATAAAAAGCAAGCATATAATAGAGTAGGGGTTCAAACACTGCTGCCTCAAGGCCAAATTTGGACCCCTGCCTGGTTTTGTAAATAAAGGTTTATTGGAACACAGCCATACTCATTCCATTGTGGCCACTTCTATATTACGACAGTAGAGTTGAGTAGTTGAGACAGATCTGTCCAACAAAGCCTAAAATATTTACTGTCTGTCCCTTCATGGAAAAAGTTTGCTGGCCCTGCCACAGAGCAATCTGATCAATGAGTATAATTAGTTTAAAAGTAAACATACAACATAATATTGCTCTATTTAAAGTATGTATTATTCTGATGATAAAATAGGCTTTGTTATTTCAGACAGCACAGGATGCAACATTAGAGAAAACATTCCCCCCAGACCGCATAATTCCTTGGTTGGTACTGGGCACATGAAAGAGAAAGGAATGAAAAATGTATATACGTAACATCTCTAGCTTCTGGTCCCTGGGTCTGAGAAGTTGGATATTTCCGGAAGGATGTGTAATAACTACCAATGCAGTCATTCTAAACCGTGGTCATCACTGCAGGGCAGAAGAATCTGACTCAATGATAGCGTGCTCCTTCTCCCAGCCTTTTAGGGAATGGCTATGATTTACTCATTCTTGTGCTGTAAACCTTTGTGTTATGTAAGTAGGTGTCTGCTTGGTGCCACTGTGTTAAACGGCAGAGAGGAAGTGTGTGGGACATGGCTATCCTGTGTTCCCCCTACTGTTTTACAATCACGTTTTAAGTAAAGGAACCTAAGAGATTCTAAAAGTAAACTTCAGCTTGACATTAAAGTTTAATTAAGACTTGTAGAGGAGCTGCCTAGAAATAGACATTTATAAAATATTCTGGCTTGTAACCAAAGCATTAGTCACTGAACACCTTTGGGAAAGAAGTTGGCACTTACACAAGCAACAGAAGGTGGAAGCACTGCATAAACAGCGAGGTTCCAAGACAGCAGCGGATTAAAGAGAAACACAGTGTTCACATTTCAGCAGCCAGACCCCTGGTTTATCTCCCATTTTTAGGTTATTTTGCCACATTACCATATTTATGATTCTACTTTTTTTTTGATAGACATCTTACTGTATCTTGATTCATTAACAAGGTGCCATTGGAAAGAAACCCACCAGCTTTTTATGTGAGACATAATAAAGGACCAGGTGCACATCTGGAAGTGCGACAAGGCTGAACGAGAGCTTTCCCTGGGAATTGTAGTTCAGTCTCCATTAAAACGTGCATGATGCAGACTTGAAATTTACAAAGCAGCCTAGAAACCACATAATTCAAACAAATCAAGGTACTGTGTACATACAGAATCATAACTTAATAAGTGAAAGAGGAAAAACAGAAATATGATGTATTTCAGCACCAGGCTGCATGTTTTTGAGTGAGCAATATTGTTTTATTTTTGCAAGAAATACTCCTTAGGTTTTGGTATAATGAATGTGCTTTGCCTTGATAAGATGAATTAGTGTTTCCTAGCTAACATGTTTTTAATCAAGCTGCTAGAACAAAATAAAATGTAAACTGCTATGTACCTGTATCAAGGTGTATGTGTCATTTATTTGACAAAAAACCTTACTGTGGTAAGTGGCTTACAGACCTGTGTAAAATTTGTCCTCTTTTTTCTTTACTACTGACTTCAAGAAAAAAGAAAACATTGGAAAATTCTCACCTGCTAGAATATATCAGTTAACTGATATTTAAGAAAGTTTTATTAAATAAAGGCAAACCCACTAATGTCTGGAGTACTGCAGAAGAACACAGATTGGAAGACTGAACTAGTAATTAGCATGTTTTAGTTTATAAAGCATAGCATAGAATCCACTTTCCCCAACTTGGAGATCAGTCAGGCATGTATGCCTATTCCTCCATTTTAAAAATGGACAATTTTGTTAGAATTGCTCTTTGGGGGGCAACCAGCATAGTGGCAGACATTGCACACTGCTGTCTACCCAACAGAGATTCCCCTTCTTAGCTACTAACAGAGCCCTGTATCATTCCGGCAGTATCTCTTGGTATTGCAGAAGGTAAGTCCCGAGTTCAGGTCCGGGGAATGAATTATGGTTGATCTACTGTGATCATGATTACTCCTCCTTCAACCATCATAGGGGTTGAACATAGAACAAGGCCTGGCTAATCGGAGTAAGAAGGGTGCTAAGGCACTTCCTTTCCTGGGAAGGCAGGCTCAAGAGGACACAGAATTTTGTTCTTGTCCCTTTTTTTCTTGGGAATATTGGTGCTGGCCATCTGTTTGCCATGAAGGAAAAGTCAAGAGAGTTGTAAAGTTAACCATGAATGTCCCGATTTGGGTAGCTGCTTACTAAGCTTGCAACCACCTCCTCCAGATTGTTTATTATGCAAAAATTTTTTAATACCATCATCATTTAAGTCACTATTAGGTAACCTGTAGTTAAAAGCATTCTTAACTGGTATGAAAGCACTTGTTCAGGGAAAGCCTCCAGCCCTTACCCTGGAAGCATGACTGAGGCATGAAAGAGAAAGAGTCTTATTTACATCAGTCAGCTCCATGAAAGACTTGATTCTCAACTGCCTATATGATGGTTATAGTATTTGTAATTTTTATGAAGTCATATTTTTTAATCTTCATTTTGCAATGTAAATCTGTCTGAATGGGGTTTATTGTCCAGAGAATTTAGACATTCATGAGGAAGCCTCAACTTAATGAGAACATGAGACAGGGCATAGGAGGAGTTTTGTTTGCTGTCAGCAGTCTCCTAATACAGTCTTTAGAAACTCATGTTCTTTTACTGAGTAAATGCTTCAACCTGAAGCAGGTGTGTAGCTCCGAGGCACATAAATACCATTAGGGCTGGGGGCATTCTAGCAGGGAGAATGCATAGAGTGTACGGTCACACTTGTCTGCTATTCCTGAGAAGGGAGAGAGGTGTCCTATGCGGGAGAGGAACATTTGTGTCTGACAGAGTATGATTTATTGTAACGCAAAGCAGTTTGTCAGAACCCTTTATGGTGGGCCTAAAAACTAGAAGTTTTCACATGAAAACTCTCCAAATAAGTCATCATTTATCTAATAGAAATAGCCTGTACCCTTCCTAATTGATACAACAGATGTGGGGCTTATACAATAACACTGGCACTAATGCCACTTCAAACCTCATAAAAATGCAAACTACTGGCCAGTCATAGTCAGCAGCATTCTTGGGACATAAAGAAACAATACCTAGTACATTATGCAGAAAATGTTTAGAATTCATTGGCAGTATTTCATTTTATGGCCAAACTAAAATTTAAAAAAAAATCATGGTCTTTAAGCATATCAACCACAATTTTATCAAAAATAACTTTTAGTACAATTTCACGTGTACCATGGTTTGTGTAACACACTTGGCCTTCATTATTGCATTTTATCTTTAAAACAATCTTACAGAGTAGGTACTATTTTACTTCCTTATCATTGAGGGAAGAGGTTTACAGAGGTTAAGAAGTTTCTCAAAAGGGTCATTCAGCTAGTAAATGGTAGATAAATTGAACCAAGTTAGTTTGACTTCAAATCTGAAACTCATAACTATCATAGCATGGGTCCCAGGTTTTAATTGGATAAAACCCACACATAGCCCTATTAATGAACATTAATACTATAAAATGTCCTATTATAATGAATTTCTGGCCTGGTCCCCAAAGATTTTGGTTTGGATGGTTGGAGTCTAGGAACCTACACTTCTATCAAGCGTTCCAGGTGATTCTCATGAAGGTGACTCAAAGACCACACCTTGAGAAAAACTAACCCACACTCTGCTGACCACCATTTAAAATCATAATGGACTTCATATTTAGACTACAATAAATATTATCACTTTAAATTTGAAGTGCCATCTAATAAACTGCCAACCCATGCCTCCTATCCCACTTGCCATGCACAGTCATCCCTCAGTTTCAAGTGTGGATTCTCTCTCTCTCTGGTCTTCATTTTCACATCTTCCCTCTGATATGCACAACAATTTCATTATAGGGAATTTAGACATGACACAAAGTTATAATGGTTTATCTCCCTTCACCAAATAATAACAGCAACCAACATTTATCTGGCTTTCACCATGCGCTAGGTAGGAACAATTCAAAGCATGTCACCTACATTTTCTTTTCACTGTTTCCCCTTCTATAAACTTAGAACAGCAAGTTAGCTTATTCTCTTTCAAATGTGTCATTTCTATATTTGGGGATTTCTTTGTTTTGTAAATTAGTTTGAATTATGTAAACAGTTTGTGGATGATAAAAAAATTTTTTTTAAATGAGCCAATTTTGTCACTGAAATTCTATCAACAGGTAAGTACAAATGTATAAGACATATCTACAATTATAATAATAACCCAAGGTGCAATTAAGTCCTGAAATATCTTATGAATGATCCCAAAATATTAAAATATGCTCCATAAAACCATATTCTCATTCTTTCAAAAAGTGGTAATCTTTGAGTATATATTTATTGTAAATAATGTAAAGATCACTTAATCTCTGTCAGTAAAATGTTGTTCTTCTCCAGTTCTTTAAATGTTAAGCCTCAAGGGTTAGTTCTTAGTCCTTTTCTCTTTAGAACCCACATGTGTACACCTATTACCCCATCTTGATGAGTAACAGAGTAAACTTTACTTACTTCAAAAACCCAATTTTTGCAGAAACCTGTAAATCAGCAGAACAGTTTTCATGGGCACAGAATCTTGCAAAGTTTATCTGGAAATAAAATATGACAGTATTTTTTATTTTAGTTCAATCAGGAGATATGTTTCCATGTGTTTTAAAGACGACATCTGTGGTAAATGAGAAAAATGAAATTAATAAATCAAATTGATAACTCCTTATTTTATTCCTTTTGAAGAGTTCAATCTGAAAATTAGTTGGTAGGTTCAAGTGACAAGTAACTGCAGGGCTAAGAGAATGTCCAATTCCATAAATTTAAATTTGTGAAGTGGAAAAAATGATTTTTTTTCTTTCATAGCAGTTGTGAAAAAAATAAAGTTTAATCAAATTGTTTAAAACCTGTGCAACCAAGATGTTCTTCGCCAAGTTCTTCTCAATTTTTTGGTGCTAGTTTGATCCCACTTTTTATGCATAATCAAGTTACTTACTTTTCACAGAGGACAGGGCAGTGATTTTGTATTAAAATAACTGAATGTAGAAATTTACAACTTTTACTTTGAGAGGACACCCTGAACAAAATTAAATGATTATCTATTATAAAGGTTCCAGAATTTATTTAACTCAGCATTTTGATAGAACCCAGAGATACTACAAGGTATATATGGGAAGACTGGAGATATAAACTGGACAAAGAAAAAATGGAGAGAAATAAAAAGAAAGGGAGCTGAGAGGAATAGGTGAACAAGAGAGAGATGCAGAAAGAGAGAAATCTAGAGTGCCAGAGAAGGAACTGGGCGCATGAGATGGGCGAGGATTAGAATGTTATCCAATAGCATGTGAGACCTCAAACTGCCTCTACCTGGGGAAGCAGAAGGAAAGTGTAAATCTTTCTCTAAATGATTAGGTAAATACAATTTTTTTTATGACTTGTATTTGTAAAGCAGGTGCATTGTAAGAACCAAAATGTAGATTATTCTAATATATCTGCAAATCGCTAAGGTTTGCCTTGTTTACTTACAATATTGAGATTTTCATTATTAAAGACATTTAAAAATAGTTGATATAGACAACTGAAGTTCTAAAGAAGAATGAAAAAACTGACTTTCATGAATTTTTTCACCTAAGGGTATACAGAAAACTTGTTCTTCAGTTATTACCCTCATTTGATCTAGTTTTCTGGACTAGAAAGTGGTGACTGTAAGCTCAAATATCTTAAAGTGGCTTAGAGGCAATTTTGTCTGGACAGAATACAAACGAGACCTTTAAATGTCCCTATCGTCTTTTACAGTCTGTGCGCCATTCGCAAGCATTGTAATGAATGCTTTTATCACGCCCCAAACACTCTGTTGACTATGTCTTTGTGTTGGATAGTAAAGGTCTGAACAACTGGACTTCTGGGAATAAACACACTGTCAATGAAGCTGAGATGTTTTGGGATAAATTAGAAAAAGCAGCTCAGTGGTTAGGATGCAGAATTCATCTCAAAATGCGATTGATCCTGGGATGTGACTGAAAAGCATACAGTTGAATTGAAAAGGAAAAATCATTGTATAACAGAAATATGTATGTTAATAAATGTGTAAAGCCTAGCAAGGGAATTTAATTAACGTGACACAAACGAATCCGTGGGTAGGGTGAGTGAGGGGTGGACAAGAAGGAAGAGGAGACAGAAAATGAGAAAGAGAAACTGAACACATATGACACTGAATAACCACCTCATGAATGCAACTCACTTCCATTATGAGGGTTCTCTAGTAATCTATTTTCTTCACTGGCAAGGCATTGGGGAAAGAAAATTAACATTTTATGTATATGGGAAGCCACTGCTATGACTAAATGCATTTAAAAAAATAGTTCAATATCTTAAAGGGAATATAAAAAATAAAGTAAAATGGAAAATAAGACATGCCATAAATCTCTTGTTACATAGAAAAAAATTCATAAATTTTTTTTTAAAGTCAGAGAGATAGTCTCTTCAGGATTATGTGATATTAAAAAAAGTTCTTCAGGTATATGTCACATAATGTTTTGAATAAAGGAAAATATTCTTACAGTTTTTTTGATTATGTCTTTTTCTTTCTTCTGCTGAAGAATTGGCTGAAGTGGTGGAAATTCCTCTGTGCTTCGTTTATTGATGACATGATGCCCAAGGTGGTAAGTAGCTTCGATCTGAATTGGGGTGAGGATGTCCCGTACATCTTTCTAAGGAAATTTAAAACCACATAAATTAATAATAGAAATAAGTATATAAATTAAAAAAATATATATATACATATATATACACAAAGTTGGTCCTTTCCTGTGTAAGCCAAACACAACACAAGGTAGCAAACAAAATCCTTACCTTAAACTAAATGATTTACAAAAAATGTGAAGAGTATAAAAATGAAAAACTATAACCATCCAATAACAGTTACAAAGATGTACATTTGGACATATTTTCTTTCATACTGTTTGCAATGCATATTTTTCATAACTTTACATTACAACACAAGCATTTTCCATTATAACCTCTGTGAGTCACTTCAAAACTACTAGTCAACATTTTTTTCTATTTAATATTTCCCTACAGACTTACAGAAATATGATCTCTCAATTTGTTCAGGTTTTTTTCTAACACTTTAGTTCAATATGATTCATTTGATTTCGTATTTATTATGCAAAAGCCTTTTTGTTGCTATTCTTGAAACTCTTCCCATTACAGTTTCTACAGATTATGAATGGTATATAGGAAAGTCACTTGTTTTTTATATTTAATCCTTTTGTTATTATTTGGTATATTTTTTCTAGGTTTATTGTGCTTTTACATTTCACAAAGAAACATATCTTGAATTTATTTATTGATTATACAGTAACTAAAACCCATTCAGAAGCCATGCTGCTCTATGTGACATTCTTTTAAATTTAATACCTTACTAATTTTTTCACAGCACTAATTTTATGTTCATGTGGTCAAAAATGTCCTTATGAATGATCAGATTTTTAAAATGTATTGTCTTCTGCCTCAAAGAAACAGCTCTGGAGCTGATCACACTGATCGTCAATTCATGTATTTTACTCTTTATTTCTACATGTAAGAATTGTTTTTCTTATAAAAATATTTTCTCATGAACTTGAAGATTATTTTATTATCCCTTCATTTGATTATTCACTACCTTTTTCATCAAAAAGGAATATACCACATCACTATCTAAATTATTTGCTAACATACATATGTACAACAGTAAAATCACTGACAAGAAAGAACCCTCTGAAGCATTTGGCATTCAATTAAGGAAGTGCTTTCCTAGACAGCAAAGGTGCTCCAGAATCTCAGGTTGATGAAAAAATACAGAAGTCATGGAAGACATAAAACATGGTATCTCTTAGGAAGCTCTTACCCATGCCCTGCCTAGAAAGAAATGACTGATTTTCAAAGTGTATGGAACAAAACAGACTCCTTTTTCTCCTTATCTAAGAGGGTGGGCAAATAAGATTTAACTAATAAAGTAATCCATGAGGACTTACAACAGAATTCAGGTGATAATTTAGTTACATTACATGAAATAAGATGTTTATTACAAATTAATAAAACAAGTATCTTATACACAACAAAAATTAAAAGTAGAAAACGATTTCAGGATTTGAGGTGTAGTTAACAATCAGGAGCTATATTCTATCTACACAGGAACTGTGCAGGGTTTTTTCTGGTATTAGAATTGTTAATACATTTGGGAAATATTTGAAGAATTGGTCACACATTTTGATGTGGGAGCTTTACATCACAGTTTGACTCTACTTTTCGTGTGCCTGTTTCAATCTACAGTTTGAAGATTAAAAAAAAGATTCAACAGAGTCCCTTTTTGCCCCCAAAGAGATTCAGTTATTTTCACCAAGGCTAAGACATGATCATTACCTTAAGCCCTAACTGAGGTTTATATTTATGCTAGGTGAGTTTCTAAGTAGATCCCTAGCATTATAATTGACAGACCTCCCAGTGAGTGACATTGTAGGATCAGTTTTCTATTTATCTATAGATATTTCAGGTTTTGAATATGGCTTAAATATTACTGTCCAAAACTAAATAAAAATGGATTATTTCCAAAACTCATCAATTAGTAATTGCTAATGGCTAGGAAAAAATAACCTATCATATAGGTTATTGCTATGCTACTACATGTATAGCAACTTTTCATAAAAGTCAATGAATTAATAAGGATGACATCACATAAAAGACTACATTTACTCTGTGTCTTTATGTAATTATAAAAAAAGGATGAATTTTTTCTTCCCATTTATAATATTAGCAATATATGTATAGCGTGGTTAAAAGCAAGTGGTCTGGAGGTAGAGTACTGGAATTCAAATCTCAGGTCCACCACTTACTATCTATGTAACCTTGGGCAAGTAAATGTATGGCTCAATTACCCTATCTGAATATGGGAATAATGATAATAATGGTGGTGATGATACCTACATTGTGAGGCTTCAATGGCATGATGTGCTTGGCACTTATTAAGGTTTCCACAGATGTTACACCTTACAATTATCATGTGTATGTTGCTTCAAAATGTAGCTAGATAAGCCAACCAAGGAATTACTGAATATTTCTTATAGGAAATTCTGGTGAATATTTGGAAGGAATAAGAAAAAGAAAATAAAACTTATAAACAACCAATGAACATTAAATAGACAATGAATTACATAACCAATATTAGACTTGTACTAATTAAGTGGAAGATTTAGAACATGAATCAGAGTTCTCAAGATCTCTCATTACTTTTCCATTCTTATACATGGAGAAGATTTTATTGAATTACTTGATAAGTGATCATCTGAACACAAAACCTTGACCATAAAGGAATGCGGTAATTCAAGGCCCAAATCCCAAGTTATCAACTTGTGAAAATGGAACAGCTTGAGCCATGAGTATTACAATAGCAAACTTGATTAAATTATTCCCTAGATATAGGAGCTAGACAGCCACTGATTGTCCCTCCACATGTCCACTGTTTTAATTCTTCTCAACAAGCTTGCTTTGACCATATCACATGTTATCTAATTCATACTAATTTTCCACAAGGTCTTCTCTACATCTGGTGCATATTACTTTCATTATCCTAATTAACTATTAATTATGCTTTTCTCACAATATATAAAATGTACGTGCACTCTTTCAAGAATGGTATTTGACAGATATTCACACTTACTTAACTTTAACAGCTCTACCTAAGGACAAAAGCTATAATATAAAAAATGTCTTGAAGTAACTAATTATGTGGGAGGGGAAAAAGTAGATTTGTTGAATATTTTTAATTTAGATGGGCATGTGCTATATATATACTAAAAATAATGAAGATTCCTTGACACATTTTTATGGACAATTACATAAAACAGGGCAACCCACAGGATGCAAATCAGCATATGTGTGAAATTATACAAAGTCTGCCTTCTTTTTTGACCTTCATAGAAATCTGTGTTTATGGCCAACTTGAGAACTGAGTTGTAGGCCTGTGTCCTCCTATTGTGTTTATGTAGTGAAAGAATTTTTAAAGGGTAGAGCCAGAAATATTTACAAAATATTATTGAATGAAAAATGATGTTGAGGTATAAACATTTTGAGATTTTATTCATGGATCTACAGTGCACAAGGAAGGCTCTGGGGATACAAAATAAAGTCACTACTTACATCATAGACTATAACCCATGAATTTACATGTATGGTATGGGGGATGAACATTCTGATACATGCATACACAAGCACAGAAGGAGGACCACTTAATCTGTACTTGAAAGGGGAGGAGGAGGTTCTTACACAGAGGAATTTTAAGCAAGGAATATGATCAGATTCATGTTTTTGAAATACTCCTCTAGTGCCAATGTAGGGAATGGGTTGGGGAGGGAGAAGGGAAGACTGAGGTGTAGATTGGAATCTAAGCCAGTCCCATCACCTGTGATCATAATCACTTTATCTAGTAAGCTTGAATCAGGAGGTGGAAAACTCAAACATCTGGCACCACAACTCCCTGAGAAAAGACAAAACCCTCAAGACAGGTGCTCTAACCATTACACCAATAGAACATTCTGAGATTTTCCCCTATGGAATTCCTTAAATAGCACCCAGAACACATCATACATAAATTTTAAAAATATTTATTGATTTTCTGCCTTATGTAATGAGTTGTGTTGGCACTAAGAAGAATGCAAACATGCAAAATATAATATCCTGGATTCAATCTTTCAATCTAACAGAGAATCCACACATGCTGGAATAATCGATCTGCTTCTAGAATACCACAGTACCAGTATAAACACATGGTTTGCTTGCACTTTGACTTTCAGTAGAAATGTATACAGATATGGATCAGTCCATAGTGTGCTATGGTTAAAACATAAGTACTTTGGAGCCAATGGCACTTCATTGAACTATGTATTTATATAGCTTAACAATATAAGTATATAAAATACAAGTAAAAGGTATTTACTAATCAAATACACATTCATTTTCCTGAAGTCATTATTGAAAAGGGTTTTGTAGGAGTCACTAAAGACTTATGTAACAAAACAAAATTGTTTTATTTATAAATCCAAAATCTAGAAATTTGATAAATCAGAGGAAAGAAAAGCATAACTAATCAAAGGGAAAAAAAAAGAATGAATTAGTCTACTATACAGGTAGGCAGGTTGACTTCTTCTGAACTCACTGAATCTCAGTGTATCACTGGGTCATGCACTCCTGGTCTGATAACTAGGCCAGAAATTTCAGCTTTTTATTGGAAATGCTGCAAGCAGGGAGGGATCTTGTTACTTTATTTGTTGTCCCAATGTAGCACCCCTCTTCCTTTTTCAAACACCCGTGAATATTTTGATGCAGAGACTCCATCAAGATTAACCAAGAAATATCATCTGTAAAAACCTTAAAGGGAGTCTCACTACCATGGCTGCTCCAACATTTCTAAAAACTGCTGCCAACTGTTGATCAGGTTTTCCTAAATCAAAACAGCCTCAAAATTATCCCTGTCCTAAGACCTTGTCCTAGGGAGTCATTAAGATCTAATAAAGTTGTGTGTCTAAATACAGCAAAGACAAAGATTCACTCAAATATGTGGATGTGGAATCATTTTCATAGATGGAAAAGTGATGTTTAATAGAGAACTTCAATAGATAAAATATGTAAGGTATGAAAAATTAAACGTTTCCCTTATATCAGTTACTTGGGCAAAAGCCATCTTGGAGCTTTTCTTTCTCAAATGCCAGACATTTCATCTTCTGGCAAAATTGTGTAGGATCTGTCTTCAACTACTTCTCACCATATCCACTGCCACCACCTTCTTGGGAGCCATCATCTCTCATCTGGGTTACTGCAGCATCCTCTTCCTGTTTCACTCTTGGTCCCCTGCTGTCTAGTCTTATCACAGCAGCTAGAGTATTCCTTTTTATTGCTAAGTCAGATCATGTCACTTGTCTGCACAACACTCCAGGAAAGATCCTCATGTCACTCAGAGAAAGTCACAGCTGCTATACGATCTGACACTAGTTCTGCTACTCTCTCCCTACCTCACATTTCCAGCCATTCTTGCCTCCCTGTTGTTCCCTAAGCAGCCAGGCACACTCTT